GCTCTCTTAGCCAGGGATGAAGTCCCAGAGACCATCTTCTCCCCTTGCTTTCGGAGGCCTCTGCCACCACTGTCAGGCTGATGGGGGCCACCTCCTGGTGAAATAGCTTAAGACACTGCGCCTAAGACGTCCCTAGACTGTGGAGACACATCATGTCCGTTGGTCTGTCTCATTGTGCTTTTTCCTTATTTCTCGATGAGGATGCAGTAAAGCAAGGATTTAGGAGGCTGATTTTCCCAGGCACATCTATATTTGAGTTAAAAGAATCCCCTACTGGCCTTACAGGATTTCTAAGAATAGCCTTATTTTGCTTGAGTCCAAGCAAATCGCTCTATTGTGAAGATGCCTGGCCAGGATCTGTGCCTCTTGCCCCAAACTCCAGCTAGTACTGCCCAGGGGAGGGGCTGAGCTGCTCACAGCGGTCACCTTTGCTCTCCTGACTGGAGCTGCCCAGAAGGTCTCTGCCTAGCAAGTGCGAACGTGTCTGCCGGGCCCGCGAGCTAGTTGAGGCCTTAGCAGTCACTTCCTTCCCACCTTCAAGGGCCTGGAACCCCACAGGCGACGAGGCCGGTGAGTCTTCTTCCAGCTTTCACTCCTTTTATTCCTTTCCTGCTGCACCGCATTCTCTTCTCCTTCAAATTCTATTATTTTTCCAGATTTGTCTTCCATAGCTACTCTACACCTTCTATTGAACTTTTTTTCATCCCTTAAAATTTGATTGCCTTTAACCACAAAACAGACCCCTTTAGGGATCTTCCCCCCAGCTCCCCGGACTATTCCTGACCACCTGGCCCCATTTCCTCTTTGGTGAATTCTTCCTCTTCCGTCCCACCCAGACTTTGTCACCCACCTCTGCATATGTCTTTCTTTTTCTTTGAATATTTTTGTTTGTGGTATGTATCCTTCTCTTGACCCATTTATACTTTCTCTTCCTAAGTGTGTGGAGTAAAGTAGAAGAAGGAATTAATATGAGCAGTGGAAAAAGACTGTGTTAAAAACAAGCCATTGATATTGAAAAATAATTTGAACTGTCAAGGCCTAACAAATGCATAAAGTCGGAACTTAATTGATAACAGGCAAGTTATTATGCAAATACTGCCTTTTGCCCATCATCCCATACTTTTAAGAGAACAGTACAATTACATGTTTTTTATAGAACGATCATTCTCAACCAGAACCTTTTCCAGTGTCTTTAAGATTGTCATTAATTCTAAAAAAAAGAAGAAGAAGAAGAAGCAGCAGTCTTTTATTAGAACTTCATTTTTAAAGTCACTGTGGTTGAAAAGGCAATTATGTGCCTCCTGGCAGTTTTAAGAGAGACGCTGTTCCCAAACGCGCCTCCCAGGACACATTGCCAAAGCCCAGAGTGGAACCATTGGCGAGTGAACATCAGAGCCCAGCAGGGCCTTTGAGCCCTGAAGTGAGCTGTTCGTCCTGAGTAGATCCTGCCTAGTGTTAGAGCTTCCTGGAAGGCGCTGGCACAGGAAGTTCTGAGCGTTGCTGCCAAGGTTTGACGTTTGCTGCTTTGAGGGGCACAATCAGCATGTGGCTCCACCATGAGTGAGTCACAAGATCTCAGCTCAGCTAAGCCCACTGTGACATTGTTCTTAAAAACCTCAGCAAAAAGAGTAGAGGCAGGATTTCAGACACTGACAATGTCTATGTTCATGGACAACTTGAAAAATGTTTTATTAAATGTGTCTTGACTATGGTTTAACTCTCTCACACGCACATACACGCGCGCGTGCACATACTCCATTTGGCTAACTCTACAGAATTACAGGGGGGTATCCTTACACCCAGTTTCCCCGCTCACTGATGTTTTTAACTTCAGACCCATCTACCCTCGTGTGGACTTAGCCTGCCAGGAGTGGACAACAAGGAACAGCAAATGGGAGATGTAGCAAGAGTGACTCGATTTTACCCATTGTCCCTGGAGACCAGCAGGAGGAAAGCTAGAAGTGTGATGGGGTAACAGAAAACTTGCTTAAGCGTCACCAGGGAGGGGCTGATGCAGGAAAACAGAGCAAAGGCCTCCAGGGCCGGGGGGCAGCCGGGCCAACACTGCAGCCCATGACTTGAGTTTCAGAACAACACTCCCCCACCCTTGTCTCTTGCATAACACAAATTATAATGGAATAGCCACATTTCCCCCCAGAATTGGGCAGCTAGGGTGGGGTGAACCATAGAACAAAGCGCCCATCCCTCTCACAGAGCTTAGAGGTGGCACAGGGAAGAGGAGTCCGAAAGACCTTGATTCTATTCCTGTTTTGTTGGTTGCCGAGAGCTACGGGCAAATTTTCTTAACCTCCTTGTCTGTAAAATGAAATATTTATTCCTACAGTTTTTGCAAGGATGAAGTGGGATGATATTAGTAAATTGCCAGCTACTATTAGTCACTTAATAATGGGAGCTGTTATTATTTTTATTCAAAAGTACAGGTAAAATTTTCGTCCATGAGATTTGCAAGACAAACAAAAAATTAAAAGAATAAATTATATATATACCCTGGATGTTCACATGAATCCATACAAGTTCAGTTTGCTGTATTCAAAGTCTGATGACCTGAAATCCACATGTCAGACTCAGATGCTATGGACACTGGGTGAGAAATGAAAACCTTGTTCTCTCTGAGATGCCTGCCCTGTGTTGTTAGCCTTGGATCGGTGAGGTTTCCTTTTATGCCTACATCAAATAAGAAAGAACTTCAAGAACATTCAGTCAGCCCTGTCTGGGTGGCACAGTTGTGTGGAGTGTTGTCCCATACACCAAAATCGGTTGTGGGTTCCATTCCAAGTTGGGGCGTGTATGGGAGGCAACCTATCGGTGTTCTCCTCTCTCCCCTTCCCCCCTTCTCTCTCTCTCTCTCAAATCAATAAAAAACATATCCTCAGGGGAGGATTTTTCAAAAAAGAAAATTTAGTCATTTTCTCTGTTGTCTTCACCACCCCCCTATCTTTCCTACTTCTGCTTTTCAAAATACATAAATTGTTTAACTCTCTAAGCTATTTTATTTTTATCTTATAAGACATTTCACATTTTCTTTTAACAACTCTTCTGGAAGTCCACATTAGAAAACTCTAAGGAGAAAATTATTTTAAAGAGCTCAGGCTTTAAAACAAATTCTTTGAATATTTAAATGCCTTTTCCTTCCCCATTTGCTTCTTACCTCAACAACAGGTAACAGTTAGAAATTAACCCTCACGTTACCATCTACAGATGAATTGTATTTCTCCATGGTTCAAAGAGATACAGGGTTTTGAGCTAAAATGCTAGGCTGGATTTTAAGCACTACGTACATTGGTTTCCAACTAAACTAGTTTTTCATTCTATGGGCAATATTTTTCCAATCAAATTCCTGTAATCAAAGTTAATTTCTAATTTTCTTTGACATTGTAGCATTGCATCAATATAATAATTAGAAGTTCTGTTTAAAACAGACAAGACAAAATTCTTCAGACAGTACTGCAAAATATATATTTCTGGATCCCATTTTATGTCTTCTGCCCTATTTTCAGAAGTTAAGTAAGCTTACATATACAATTTAAAACAGAGAAAGGCTTGGCTGTGTTGGTTAGAAGAACCTTAAGGCCTGGTCAGCTTCAATGTTGACTAATCCTATCCTTAAAGCAAAAAGAAGGAGGGGGAGGAAAGGAAAAATAACTTGGTACCTGAAGGCTTTTCTTTATTTAGCTTGGGGAGACTTGGGACAGATAAAAATGTGGCAAAGAGAAGGGAGTAAGAGGGGGTGAGAGGCTGTCTTTGATTAATACTTTACTCAAAATAATAGCAGTGTGACTTTATTTACATTTCACAAAATATTCTGACCTTTACTGCTCTGAAACTAAAAATGATTTCTATAGACACAAGGACTTGATTAATACTTCGTCATTAACATACATTGGATCCTTTGACTTGTCTTTTCAGGTTAGTTCATGTATTTTGTTAAGGTTGCTACAGGGAAGGTGCTGGGTCTTCATTCCACATGCATGGATTCTGAATTCGGGTTAGCAAGATACTACGAATTGGGAAGGGCCGCCGGTTTCACCCTAACACTTTGGAGGGATCGTCTTGGGTGTAGTGACTAGATATCCTGCATTTTCAGGACACTCTTAGTTTTGAAATCAGTTCCTGTAAACACCCCTGTGGCCTCAGGGGTACTGCAGTGCAGCCACTTCCATGAGAGGTTCAGATCCTCTCTTGGCGCCCAGAGCTCTGCTTCCTTGGGTGGGGGGCGGTGGGGGGTCTGCCATGGCCATGGAGGGCCACCTCACAGCGCAGATGCCCCTGTGGGTTTCATTTGTTCTGGGGTCACAACGTAGGCACTTACCCCGAGCACGATGTTTGCAGAGCAACCCACATAACCGCATCTGCCATGGGTGTGCGTGTCCCAAGGAAAGAGAGCCACTTGAGGAACCAGGCTGAGGTGGAATCAAAATATTATGAGGGCTTTTCTCAAACTGTTTTCGTAGCTGCAGATACTGCGTGGTAAATGGTATTGTGTAGGGAACCTTAGCATATGAAGCAGGTCACAGCCAAGGTGGGCTGCTAGAATGCACCCCGTAGCAGGCCTCAGGACTCCGTGGAACTCAGCAGGCTAGACCAGAGACTTGGGGTGAGCATCAGGATCTGTCTCAGCCCCAGCTTCCAGTTTCGCCAGGCCGGGGCCCCGATGTTCCAGCTATGCTTGTGGAAATTCTCTTGAGAAGGACCTTTGGCTACTTGTCCCCATACTTTCCTTAGTGTCAGGCGGTGGTCATGTCCCAGGTGACATGAATGTACCTTCCCAGCTGCAGGTTCTGTTTGGGTGGGTGGGCTCTACAAACGGACTCCTCTCAAGTGTGTTTTACTGTGGTGAACTTCCGGCTTAGGTCCTTCCCTCTTGGCCGAGCCCCTGGTGTGGCTGGATGCCCTGGCGGGACGGTGGGAGTGGGGGACAAGTCCCTCGTTGCCCTACCTTGGCCACGTTTCTCCTGATTGCATTTTGTTTTGTTCAATAGATGATGATTCAGATCTGTACTCTCCTCGATACTCCTTTTCTGAAGACAGTAAGTGACTTAGAATATCCTGGTTGTGGGGGAGGAAGCAGAGGGTGTTGGATAAGGGAAGACATCCTCCTGTTTTCAGTTTTCATCAGTTTTAAGTCTCTTGTACCCACTTTCCTTCTCCAGCCAAATCTCCCCTTTCTGTGCCTCGCTCAAAAAGTGAGATGAACTACATTGACGGTGAGAAGGTAGTGAAGAGGTCCGCCACTCTTCCCCTCCCGGCCCGCTCTTCCTCACTCAAATCCAGCCCAGAAAGGTGAGTGCTCCCCTCCGCAGTCAGCTCTGTGACTTCGGGCGCTCTCACGCGGTCTGCTGGTCGTGTCCCATCTCCCGGTGCTGGGCGGGCGGGCGGCCTTGGAGCCCGGAGTCAAGCAGACCTGATTTTGAATCACTCTCCGTCATGGATTAGCAGTGACTTATTCTTTCTGAGTTTCAATGTTCTTAGCTATATAACGGGAATACATTTTACATTCGTTAGGGATGTTACAAAGATAAAACAAGATACTGATGTAACATTTCTATAACTATCATTACTTTTTACCTTTTCACAAGAGAAATCTTAGCTGTAAGATGTGTTTTTATGTTCTTTGCATATACTAATGGAGCCCGTAGCAGAGACCATAATTTTATTAGGAAGCCACACTTTTTAATATCAATTTGTTTCTGTGACACACATTATTGAGACAAAGCTTGGACTGGTGGTAATGATGACGATAGTCATCTCTTAACACCTGCCCAGAATGACCCACTATGCTTTCATTGGGTTCCTATGTGCTCTGGGACAACCTTCTTATGCCTTTGGACTGGTGGCCCGTGCGCCTTCTACCACTTCTCAACACACAAAAAGCCTCTAGCCCAGCTGAATTATTTTTCCCGGGAAGACATACTCATTTTCGCACCTTCATACCTTTTCCATCCTCACAGACAAATAAATGGCTGTTTTGAAAGTCTCACACATGCATAAATGGCATCTGCCTGTGGAGTTTGATAATTAATTAGAAAGGAAGCCTGGGTATACGTATAGATCCTTTTCAAGTGCATCCATCAAACTGGGTGCATTCTGTGTGCAGATGGAACCAGATGCTGTGTGGAAATAAAAGCACATATAAATCATTGTCTCTGTCTTCAAGAGGTTTATAGCCTTGCAGGGAAAACTAAATATAATCACAGTGCAAATGCTATATTATACATGCATAAAAATTTTGCTGATTCTAAGGATTCATGTATCCTTGAAACCCACCTCTGGATCAGGTTAAGTATCTGTGCCAAAGGCTGCGATTTTGGTGATTATAGAGGGTGGAGTGTAGAATAGGAAAGAATATGGTTATAATAGCAAATAACATTTATTGGGTGGTTACTGTGGACCTGGTAATTTACATGCACTGTCTTGTTTAATCCTTGCAAATGGAGCCATTTTTCTGAAGAGGAAATTAAGTAGCAGGAGATAAAGTGCTAAGCCTGGATCACCAGGTAGCGAGTAGTGTCGCAGGGGTTGGAACCGCAGCCCGCTGGCTCCGGCACGTACATTCTCTCTCCCTGCACTAGCGGGAGTGGGAGGTACAGGCATGTCAGGAGAGCAGAGCAAGGTGAAGGATTTTTCCAGAGAAAGCTTTGCTGTTGCTGCTTCCCTCCCTTCTCTTCTCTCTGCTTTCTAGGACCTGGTTTTGAGCTCAGGACACCTCAAGCCTTTTGTGAAGCAAACACAGAGATTTAAGTGGTTGTATTGAGAAGGGAACCAGCACAACTAAATGCTTTGCACCGAGTCCAATTTTACGCATCAGATATAAAAATTCCTTGATTGGGCTACAGTCAGCCCACGTCAGAACATGTTGGATGCCAATTTCCATGAAAATAGCTCTAATAGGATTTTCTTTCTACAGAAACGACTGGGAGCCCCCAGATAAGAAAGTGGATACAAGAAAATACCGTGCAGAGCCCAAAAGCATTTACGAGTATCAGCCGGGCAAGTCCTCCGTTCTGACCAACGAAAAGATGGTAATGTGCATATTACAGTTCTCTTGTCTCATCCCGCCCATGTTCTTTAATCCGGATGCATTGTGCACTTGGATTACATTCTTTCTCCCTTGAGATAGACTTGCTTTGTTTAGAAGACAATGAATAAATGAAGTATTTTTACCATTTTCATTTTTGCAGGTGTTCATAAACTAAGTCCTGAGAGTCCTCTGAGGAAGAACCTTCTTACTGTGGCTTTCTAGCGCTTTATGTGCATGGCTTTAATGATTTCAAATTTCCTACTAATGTAAAGATTGATTTTGCTGCTGTCTTTTTTTAAACGTCTAACCATTAATTTAGCAGGCTTATTACTAACTGGACTAAATTTGGGGTTTTTTTAAAGTGATTCTTATTTGAACATGCATACAATTTGTAGAAGTTACTACTGGTACATCATTAAAAGCCAAATAATTAATATGTTGTGATTCGGTGCGGGGGATGGGGGAGCCCCTGGCTGTTACGATATGTGTTTCAGGTCTTCCTTTTCTTATAAGTGCAATATTGAGGACGAATTTCCTTTTCAGTCTGGTCTGTGGTTCCCTACACAAGATCACGTCTCTACGCAATTACAAGTGGGGGAAATAACCTGCAGGGTAGAGCAGGCCACCCTGGGCAAGCGGCCTCTTCTGTGAAACGGGGAAGAATTGTTACAAACCCATTAGTTTCCTGCCTGCCAATCACACTTCCTTTTCTTCACCCTTCATTTGAAAAGGCTGGTTCAGGGTTCTGATCATGGTTAAAGGGATTCTCCAAAGCTCCGTAACATCGCAGCCCTCCAGCCGTGCCAGCAGGGATGGAGTTATCATACTGGGAATGGGATTTTATTAAAATGCTGTTACTACACTGAGTACAGAATAAGTAAGCCTCTGGAATACAGGCGCAAATTATTTTCCCCCTCCCTCTCCTGCTCTCCAATATTTTGAAGGACTAATTGATTCGACTTTTACTAGAATAAAAATGTGACATCTTTAAAAGCACAAAGGGATAAGTAATTCTAATTAGGATAAAGCATTTTGCAGAAATGCTTTAGAGTTGTCATTCTTCAGCATTTTCTGTGTGCCACAGTTATTTTAAGCAAAAGGTTCAGAGAGGAGTGGAGAATTTTGCCTCTGGCTCAACCCTTCATTGGCAGTTCCTCTCTCTGTTAGAAGACAATAAACACAAAACATAACCTTCCACATAGATATTCCTGGAAAGAAAGTCATACTTGGGGTATATTCCTGACATCTTAATTTCTTCTTTGTTTTCTTATCCTTTCCTTGGTTCCTAATAATTTGACCACTATTCAGAACTAGGAAAAAAACAACATAGTTTTGTTTTTCTCCTTGATACCAAATATCTTCCATACGATTCCTTGGGATCATTTATATTGTTTTTACAAACCCAGAAAAGCAACACATAGTACCCAATAGGGGCTCTCTTTGGAGAGCTGTCAGGACCACGCACATGGATGGCAAAGCACCATCAGGCGATCCAGGCATGGGACAACCACCAAAGGGGGCCCATTCCATTCAGTCGAAGTGCCTTTCACTCTATTTAGCACTCTTCTTCCGAAGAGACGGTTTTCATTTTAGAGAGAAATTTCAGTCGAATCTTTATCTTTACAGTCTACCCTTCACAGTAGTTGAATTAGTCCTTTATGTTTGATTTTTCTTTTTTCCTTTTAACTTTGTACGGAAAAGTTGAAACGTGAGTTTCAGAGTCTGAGCCTTGCCCTTTGACATCCAGTGTCTGGCTTGTCAGCCTTTGAGGACACAGACACACATTGTTAACTATGGATGAGTATAATATCTAGCGACAGATGAAGAATCTAAATTTACTTTCAAAAACACACAATTACTTTGGGGGAAAAATACAATCCAAGCTGAGATACTCATGTCTGCTTAAGTTTGGCAGTGTGAGTTGCGATCTCAGTGGCACACGTGTTTGCAGAAGGGTTGAGCGGTAGACTGAAGAGCTGCCTCAGAGCTCATCTACAGCGAACACAGCCCAGCCCAGAGAGAAAACTCTTTGCTACCTTCAAACGCCCAACAGGAGCGTTACAGCCTGGGCGACCTATTCAGCCACTTGGCAAAATCACATGAAGTTCTTCGTAACAACTAGGCCTGTCCTTTCATAGTGTGAATCCATTTTCTTCTCTCTGGCCTTGGAATTGGAGATCATTGCTCAGCTCCTGCTTTGTCAGAAATAGCCTTTTTCAGGCTTTGTTCCTTTTACTTTCCTCCAAATTCTCTTACAGAACTTCAGCTCAATTCACCAAATACAGATAGAATAACTTTTGTATGCCAGGCCCTGGGTTAGATGATGGGGTCCCTCCTCCCATGGGGGAGAAGTGGGACGGACAGACACTGAGGTAGTAATGACACAACATGTGTCTGAAATGTAAAATAAGGGGATTTACCCAACTTGGTTTCTTCCCAGTTCACAGTCACTGAGTTCCTTCCTGGCTTTTCAAGCCTGTCCCTTTGCCCTGTTTTAGCCTGGTATCACCTGCAAATGTAGTGGCTCTGTCTCCTTGTCATAGGGAACATGAGAAGTGGAAAGTGGTGTGGAGAGCACTGGACTAGGACTCAGAGGACCCGAGTTCTGAGTTCAAATTCTGAGCCTGCCCTCTGTCTTGGGGCAAGTCCTTCAACCTTTCTGACCCTCAGTTTTTTCCATCTATAAACCAGAAGTATTATCTGGCCTGCTGACCTCCCTGAGGTCATGAGTGAGAGGATCAAGTGCAATAATGCAGGTAAAAGAACTACGAACATTATAAAGTGCTGTGCCAATGAATGTACCACATTCAGATTATTATTTAACTAAAATCTGAAGCTGGTCTCTGACTCCTATTCAAGCAGCGAAACTGTCCTTGAGGAGCATCAGGCATTTTCCTGGCAAGGCATCTGCCCTTTCTAAGGGTTTTGCCAAGCTGGGAAAAGAGCCCCCAGCTGCAGAGAACTTAAACTGGTACTGTGGAACCTGCCCTGCCTGCTAGTCCCCACATCCTGACCTGCATCCAAAAGGACCATTGCTGGTTGTCCGTCCCACAATGAGGGCAACAGCTGAGTTATAAGTGGCAAAATCAAATACAGATGTTACCACTGTGTGGCGTTACCTCTTTAACTTTCTCTCTGCGTAGCTTGAAGGCCTGAGGCCAGCTGCTCTGGGCCCAAGATGGTCTGCATACCTCCTGACTCAGTTCTCGGGCGCAGTATCAACCTCGACAGTGAAACACTCAGCAAACAACCTTTGGCGATAAAATGGGTTAATTCTTTCAGGACTGAGTACCAAAGCCTTCAGGCAGTTTCCTGAAAGAGTTGGAACGTTTTTTTTTTTAAAGCCTAAACTATTCTCAGAGAGCAGCTTATAAACTGTCTCTAAAAATAATAACAATGAAACAGGTTTCATGAAACCCCATCATATTAGGGTTAGGATGCCCCAATATCTAAACTGTTTTTCTAAACTGTATTGGGCCTCATTTCACCAGATAAATACAGAATCCATTATTTTACATAATTACAGAGCCCATTGAGAGGACTTCTCTCTCAAGATTTAAGCCCCAAGTCCCTAAATTGGGGAAGGTTTTAATCTGGACATTTCCCTCTGATTTCGACTAATTTATGATCAGTGATTTTCAGCTAAAGTTCTTGTCTATATTTTCCTCAATTTAAAACAAAAGTAAAAGTAATGGTGAAGGTTCTAAGAATTTAGAAGAAGGGATTGGTGAAGGTCACTGAGAAAATTTATAGCCATTGCTATAAGCTGCAGAAGGCCTGTTAATGGAATGTTGAGAAAAACCTGACCAAGAAGAGCTGCTTGGGAAGCAGTTGCAGCGACGATGTGTCCACAGGACGTGCAGCCTCCTGCCGCGGGTGTTGGAGCCTTGAGGGAGCAAAGTTTCTTATACGTTGTTTTTAATCTCAGTGGAAAATGTACATTTTATGTTATAACCAGAAACTCACCATCTCTCCTGTGACTATCAAGGTTTTTTGAAACATATACGTATACAAATTTAACTAAGCCATGAGCCTCTAACACTGTTGTCTGTGAACATATCTCCAGTTTATTAAGGGGAAACTTGATTTGCTTTCCAGGCGTTCATTTTTAACTAATTATTTCCAGAAGCGCATGTTATTCCACAGAGAAAGGTACCAGAACTTTATAAATATTTGATTAAGTATGAACTCCCATGGAATCAATTATCAGTCTGTGTGAACTACCTCTTAGAGTTCTATAAGTGAGAAATCTAACCTATTTTTGTAACATAACCCAGAAGTTCCCGCCCCTCGTTCTGTTATCTGTCTTGTTCAGCTTTTCCCTCACTTTAATTTTTCCCAGTTCTTTAACATTTATTTGTTAGAACATAAGGTATATTCTGTCTGTATTCATCCCCCACAGGTGCTCGTTTAAAATGTTTTTTCACTTGTGTCCTCTGTTTTTACTTATGTCATCTTTCACTTTACTGTGTATGGGACATGGTTTCTCACCTACTCATGTGCCATTAAAGATGCAGTATTAACAAATTGGCTTTTATAAAAGTGTCAGTATTTGCATTTATTTTGAAAACCTTAAGGCAGCCTTGCAAATAAGAACTAAATCTGTACTAGGCTGTAAAAATTGTTTGCTCTACTTACCTGGCATAAATGGCTAAATGTTTCGCGTGCTTACCAGGTTATTTGCTCATAACTAATAGTTCCTTCCGAGGGGGAAAGAAGGGCTTTCTTTTCTCCCACAATGTGGGAATACTGTTATGGCCGTATTCCGGTTTCTTATGCAGGGCAGCAGTGTGGTGCGGAGTTCTCCATCACAGCCCATCCGTCTTCTGCCTTAGGGCTGAGAGGGGTTCGCGCACTGCTGCCTAGCTCAGTGTCCCCATCTCGATAAACACGTCCTTCCCCACCTGTTTTAGCTCCATGATTTTGCCAGTGTCAGTAAAAATGGATGATTGCTGCTATTGAATGCAGTTGCTGTATATAGCTGGAAACCACTGCATCTCTACTGGCCTGTTCCTATGTAATCTTTGCATAATGTTATCCTTCTCTCTCTTCCATTTCCCTATCACCAACCCCTATAGAGTCGGGATATAAGCCCAGAAGAGATAGATTTAAAGAATGAACCTTGGTATAAATTCTTTTCGGAATTGGAGTTTGGGAAACCGGTAAGTTTAATAGCTTCAGTGGTTATAGACATTTTTGAAAATAATGCTGTTGATGCATTGTCGCTGCTAAAGAATCAGATCTATTTATAAGGAATTCAAGGACTGGAGGGCACCATGTCAGTTGTCAGTGGTGGGATTATGTAGCCTCACCACAACCTGTAAGCTTTCCAGTGCTTTACTTCACCAAGAAAGGACAGTGCGCGCTGCAAGGATTCCTTGCCAGAGATCCCAGAGAAACAAACACCCTTGCTTGTCTTAGGACCTCCCACCACTAGCAACAAATACCACCTGCCTGCGGACGGCATATCGGGCGTTGGCTCAGTTCCTTGACCAATGTCTTTATTGCATGCTGAAGACCAGCAGGAAAATGCATTACACACTGAGCAGACCGTTTTATACTGTCTAAGACTGTCACATTTTAGATAGGACTTTTAAAAGCACAGGTGCAATGGAAGTGCCAGAGGCAGCCACAGGGGTCTCTCCTTGCAGACCATGACCCACAAGTACAACCCTGTTTCAGGCAACCTTGAGGGAGTGATCTCTATGCGTTAGGATAATAGTTCCCAAAATTTGAAATGAGAGTTAGGAATTCCAGCAAATTTAGTGTTCAGCCTGAAAATATTCTGCAGCTTCCCCCTGGTGTGTCTACGTTGGCTTTGGTCCAACTTGAGTTTTGGCGCCCAAAGGAGGATTTTCTTAGTATCAAACGGAAGAGAAAATTGAGCTTGTTTTTCCACTAGAGATGACTGGAAACTGACTTTAAAACTCCAGTTACTTTAAATCTTAATTATTACGACTGTAAAAAGAATTTACAGGTACAGGGTTTACATGTATAAAAATAAAACATTTTATTAGATGTTTGTATGAGACTTTAAGTATTGAATCTAGTATTTGAATGACTGGGGTTTGGTATGATAGTTTTATCTGCAGACAGGAATTAACTTTACAGTTTAGTAAAATGTTAAATTCCATGGTGTATATTTGTAGTAAGATGAAGACAAAGACAAATTAAGTTGGTCTCTGGGACCGCTAAGTTGATTTAGCAATGCTGAGCTTTGTTTCAAAGTTCATCCATCTTCTGAGATAGGAGCACCTGACTTGCAAACAGCCTGCGTGTAGGAAGACGTTCCTCCCACCATGTCCCCTCCTTAGACACTGTGTCTAATAGCGCTAAGTGGTCCTGGATGAACAGCGCCACCTAGTGACCAGTGGAGAGGGAGGCAGCTAACCCCAAAGTGTGCACCAGCTGCCCCTTCCCAAAGCTTTGATGAACACCTCACTTCTCCTTTCTCTCCCTTTTTTCTCTGCTGTCTACCATTCAGACATCAATGGAGTCAACCTCAGGCAATATTATCCACATGCAAATATTTAACAGTATTCCAACCCTTTTCCTTTTCTTCTTTTTCTTAGAACTTACTCAATTATCTCACAGAAAAACATTTTGATATATAATTTCTCCCTTGTCCCCCTCAAAAGACCATGATTGGCATATATAAAAATACTAAACTTCCATCAGGAAAACAAATGCTATTAGCTTTAAATTATGTATAAGCGAGAATTCATGCCATTGATCTTTGAACTCCAATTCAGAATCCACAATTTCTAGCCATCTCCTTATTGGCCAAATAACTAAATTATTTTTATCTTAAATATTAGCTTTTAAGAAACATTATGAAACAGTTTTTTGCTAATTAATTGTGATTGGTTTATTTTACTAAAGCTGTCATTGCAAATAATTCTATTTTTGTCAGCAATAGGCAGTATTTCAGTTCCAGAGTACATTAAATGGGCTCTGTGAAGGGATTGGTAAATTAACACTGTTTCTACTAGAAACTGTGGTCTGAACACCACACAGCTAATCCAAGTGAATGTTGGGAACATAGTCCATTTGTATATTGGGCCCTTGTTGTAATTTGTATCCCTACCCTATTGTTCTAACTGCCTCTTAAAAGAGATGTTTTTCCAAAATGTCATTTTCTCTAAAGCCATGAGTGTTACTGGCATAAACTTTACAGTCCTTCTTAAATGGGACTACTACTTTTTGTATAGGTCTTTTACATTCGTTTACATTTTTATTAAATTTATTGGGGTGATATTGGTTAATAGGGTCAAATAGGTTTCAAGTGTACATTACTATGATACAAGACTGGTGTGTTGCACTGTGTTCCCACCAACCGAAGTCAAACCATCTTCCATCACCATGAATTAGGCCTCCTATACTTCCCACCCACACTCTGTGTTGGTCCTTTAATGTAATAAAAGGTAATACTTCTGAACACTCACCAAAATAGCTCAATCGATGTCTCTCCTGAGGAACAGTGTTGAGATGAATGGTTCCTTATGGTCTAAGGCATTCTAAGGGCAGGCTCAGTACCTAGTTGAACCAAGTTTAATAACAATGCTATACTTCCAGCATTTGGTAAGAAGGTGTGGTAGGGAGAGAATTTTTCTTTTCACTTTTCTCCTACCCCAGTCACTGTGGGCCATAAAAGAGTAACAGACATAACCAAAAAGTGGCATAAACCATGAAAGCTGTTTTCGAATGTTTTTCAGTCGTGCAGAAGCAGAATGAAATTAAAACTCCTACCAATGCATGTAGATAGATCATCATTTCTACTTTTTATTGCCCACCAATTCAGGACCCCCTTCCCCCGAGACAGGAAAGCCTGCCAGAACTTTGACATTAGACATTCACCCTGGACTCTCTTCCTTTTCAGCCCCTTCACTGAAAGCAACCCCAAACAAGCTGAAATTTCAGCAAGATCTTGACTGTAATACCTTTTAGCCCTAATAGGTTGTTGTAGAATATCAAGTCACTCAGGACTCCAGGGACCGACCATTTTTGGGAAGGTTATTTAAGACCAATTTAATTTGTAAGTGCTGTCTCTTTTTTCCAAACGAGTAGGGGTACCAAAAGTGACTTTAAAAAGTCTACTTCCCCATATAAACAATCTATGAAGTGTATGAAGTGCTTACAGAAAAATGATTGTTAATAGCACTTCATACACACAGAGATCACATTACTGACCTGTTACTTTCAGTGGTGAATGCATCTTGAAATCAGATTACTTTTCATTTGCAAATTCATTACAAAGAGCCTGGCTGTCAGCCTTTTTTCTTCTTTTATTCCCTCTGCAGAAATTGATGTGATTTTTATAAGTAAGCTCAAAGCGAAATGTCACAATGTAAACCAATTTGAATGCTTCTGCGGTTGGTTATAATGAAATTTGCACAGAATTCCAGGAGCTATTAATGATCTCATCTCCTCCGAGGTCATCGTATAAGAAATTTCAAGTCTAATTAGACAGCGCAAGATGGGAGGACAGGGAGGAGGCGAGTTAGAATCAGTTTGTAACTTCCAGGTATCCTACCCTTCAAAGCCCTCCCTCACTAAATTTATAGCAATTCTGTCAGATTTCTGTTGTAGGGATGCAGCCAATTCTATCTTGAAAAGTTAAAGGAGAAAACAAAGAGAAACCTTACAATCCACTGTTTAAATTCATAGTATAAACTCGGATCTCTAAAGGAGATGGAAGGTATGGCTCTACGACTAACAGTGTTAACAAAGTCCAGTAAACAGTAAAAGATTTTAAAAATTGTCTAGATACACAGCGCAAAATTTATCACCTACTTCGTACATGGATATCATTGCCACAAACCACAGAAAATGCATTGAGTTCAGTTTATCCTCCATTGGCCAAATCTCCAGATTCACCCATTTATTAACAAACAATGAATTTTACAGTGGAGAAGGTCACTTCAAAAATGTGGAATCTCAGTGTTGATCTCAGTTTAAAAAGAATAATAAGGAATTTTAAAAGTTTCTGTTTTGGTTTAAATTGGTGTTAATGCTTTTTTTTTTTTCTTCCTTTGCATCTTCTTTTAAGTTTTCAATATTTGGACTCCAACAATGGTTTACTCTGGAGACAGAGACACAGACACGAGCTTCCCAGTTAGCGCCCACCCCGTTGCTTTTAGTTCACTTCTCTGTGTTGAAACAGTTCTCCCCGTGTACCCCTCTTTGTTTGAGCCAGTCTCCATGTTTGTCTTTATGTCTTTATGCTCATTTCTTCATTTCCTCCTCTGCTTCCCATCAGCCTCCCAAAAAGATATGGGATTATACTCCTGGAGACTGCTCTATCCTTCCTAGAGAGGATAGAAAGGTAATTCCGCGCCTCCTCCGTGGGCTGTATGTGTGTTCTCTAGCCTGGTTAGTGTGAGTGTGTTGTGGGGTTTTCCTTTTATTTTCTTAAATCGCTTTTTTTAAACTTGTAACTTTTTTTTGGCTTGGTGATAAATCTATTTAACAGTCTCTTAAGGCTTATACTAATGTTTGAGGGTTTTTTTATTTTTAAACAATGATTTATTCTTCTGACATAGAGAATTTGTCACAGTCACCCTACTCTGAAAAGAGAGAAAATAGGTATTTCCTTAAAGGTAGGTTTCTGTCGTATTTGTAGTTCTCTTTAGCAAGCAGGATAGAGTTTTGAAGCTCTGATTGCTTCAGGATTTATATTTTCTGTGCCTAATGCTGCATTCTCTGTTCTCACGGCTGTAAGTAATTTCCAGTGAGCTCTTGTGTTTTAATCATTCCATCTCTGCCTTATTAAAATGTAACACTAAAGAGCTCATTTTTCAAACTTAACCTTCCATGCTCTCTGCCTTCGCTCTAAACTAAAATACGCTTTCCCATCTTTTCTTTCTTGAACCAGACTAATCTAGAAAAAGATCTCAACCTCTGCCAAACAGAGTTAGAGGCAGATTTAGAAAAAATGGAGACGCTTAACAAAGCCCCCAGTGCAAACCTGTCACAGGTATTTCTGAGTTTTTCTCATGCCATCTGCCCCTTTCCAAGCTCTGTTTCGTTTCCCCGACGCTGTGGTTTTTGCTGTAGGTCAGGCGACGCTGGTTATGCTAAAGCTGCATGGCTTCCTGACTCCTGCTTTACATTCCTTTCCCCCACCTTCATTTTTTACTGCGATTTCTTTTTAGCTTGGCATCTTCCTTAAAGGGGGTTTTCCACGTATTCGTGGGTGGCTGGTGCTTTAAACAGCTTCCCCTCTTCCTCTGCTTTGAGGGGTGACCCTCTAACTTCCCCTCTTTCTCCTTGGAATGCCTTCTCTGAATTTTCAGGGAGCCACTGTCTAGCAGTTGTCATTTTTGCAACCCTGGGAGATCACTTTCAAAAGCATAGCAGTGAGCTTTGAGTGCCTCTCACGTGCACGGCTTTGGCTTTGTCAGAGTAGTCTTATTTGTAATTTGAAAGGTCAGAAAGTTCTCAATGAAAAAATGCGCCCCAGAGGCCAGACCGCCCGGCCACAAAACAAGCGTTTGAAACTCAACCGGCACTGATGTTTTTAAATGGAACGATGTCAAAGGGTGGCTTATTAAGGGATAGGTCAGAAAGAGAGTCCAAGGTAAATGGGCTCCCAAGGGGAAGAAAAATAACCCGATGTTTTGAGAACTGCTCCCAGGGCTCCCTGAAAAAAACAAGAGAGGCCCTTACAAGGAAAGGGGGTCTTTACAGGAAACACAAAGGAATGTGGACACTGCTAAAGAGGCCGGGAAGGCCCCCGTACTGTGGCAGGAAAAGTGGAAGTTGTGAGTGGATCATGTTCAACTTCAGGACTAAGACAAGGAAGGAGGGTCAGACCACCAGCATGAGTGACTTGGGGACCAAAAGTCCTGTGAGTGCCAGAGGCTTAAGCCAGGGGCAGGGTAAGGAAAGCAGGGGCTACGGCAGCACTGGGGGGTGGGGGTGTGGAAGAGAAGCCAGGAACTGCCAACAGATCAGGGGAGCCGGGGTTCAGGAGCCGGAGTCAGTGAAGGACAAGGAAGCCAGAGGGGCCAGCATTACACTCGGGCTCCCTTCAGAACTGGGAGGAGGCGCAGCACCTGAGCCACAGCGCAGGCAGCCAAGGCATCGATGTTGCAGGCCGGAGCAGGGGGCCGCTCCCAGCCAGGGCGGAGCCAGCTAGAGCCCTGGTGGGGTGGAAGGTCTGAGCTAGTTCTGGAGTTGACAGCTGTGGGTGCAGGGAGGTCCTAAAGTGAGCTGGGGCAGGACAGGAGGACTGAAGGTAGTCCAGATAATGCTTGGTTCCGTGTCACTTATGAGGATGGAAGGCAGCTAGAGAACCAATCTAACTGCAACCCCCCGAGGGTCGCGGCGGCTTCCAGTTCCTAGCACCCTGCCTGGGCAGGATGGGCACAAAAAGTATTTCATGTATAAATTAATCATCTTCCCATTGGTTCAGTTACCTGCTGCTGCCCGTTAATCCCTAGTACGTAATAGGGAAGAAAAATAACCTGATGTTTAGAGAACTGTTCCTAGGGGTCCCTGAAAACACAAGAGAGGCCCTTACAAGGAAAGGGGGGATGGAGGTTCTAATTCAGTAGCAAAAAATGGGCTTTGCCTTCAGGAACATGACAGCTGAGTCACACTCTTAAGTAGAACATCCCCAGGAGCACACAGCAGCGGCTGCTAACAGCGAAGTGCATGGTAGGGGCTCTAAGTGCCGGGAGGGAGAGAAGTATTATGGGAAGTCAGGGAAGGCTAGAGAGAGGTAGCCTGAGATCCTAAAGGGCAGGTGGAACTCAGGTACGTGGTGAGCGTAGGGGCGGCCGCTGGAGGCCTGGTAAGGAGCACAGACGTGAACCTGTGGAGGATATGTTGAAGGAATGAAGTAGAATTCAGCTGTAATAGAACATTTGGGGTGATCATAGTGGGGGGTAGGCTTGGGAGAGAGGGTTGAGCCTGGATTATAGAGGCTCAGAAAAGACGATTAAGGAAATGAGTGGTGTTGCCTGCACCAGTGATTTAATTCTGAAGAGTTTCAGGAAGGGTAGTGTCATCGCTTAGAAAGGCTGAATCGGAGGGAGGCCCTCCAGGTGGGGGCTGAGAGGACCGGGAGGCAGGTAGTGGTGAGAACCCACCCTCAGCAGCACAGCATGGGGGGAAGGGGGGGAAGCAGAGGAAATGGCTGGGGGACACGCTAACTAACTGGTGTGAAAAACAAAGAATGGGGTGGGGGAAATTGCAACTCTCAAGTTTCATCCAGGCAGCTGGAACAATGGGGACATCAGTATGTCATGTAAGAAAGATGGGGAGAAAAATCAGGGATGAGATGAAGGATTTGGTTTTAAGCCATTTATTTTTGAGGCGTTGGCTGGGTATCCCATAGGGAGTATCCGGTAGACAGTAGGAAGTGTGAGACTGGGACTCGTGGGAGAGGCCGGGCCTTAGGAAAAGTCAGTCGGGGTCACCTGAAGAGAAGTGACATCCTGGGAGCAGGTGAAGACTCCAGATCTAAGGGTAAATGAAAGGGTGAGAGAAAGGATGAAAGACCAAGAACTACTATGGGATGGTGATGACAGGAACAGGAGGCCAAGGGGAAGGTCAGAGAGAAGGCCGTCCCCAGATGTGGGGGCAGTGAGATGTGGAGTGAGGAGACAGGCGGGAGAATGACCCCGTACTCCGGGGAGGTCCCAGAAATAGACTCTGAGGAAAGGGCAGTGGGTCTGAAAACGAAGAGGTTTCTAAAAACTTTTGGGGTTGCTGGGTGAGGGGTGGAGGGGAGCTACAGTATGTGGTGAGGAACCAGGGGATCCCCCGGGGATACAGCACTGACTGAAATCATGCGGTCATGGCAGGAAGGCATGGGGCTGTTCCCAGAGGACTCAGCAGGGTCATGCAAACGTTTTTCAACAGGGAGACCAGAACATCATCCACAGAGGTGGGTGAAGACCCAGGCTGGAGGCGGATGCGAGAGGTCAGGCTCAGGAAGAGAGAGCGGGCAGGAGAGAGCAGGCAGGCAAAGGAAGGCCAGACCGACGGACCGATGTGGAGGTCGGAGGGGGGCCTCCTCTGAGGAGTGATGGGGAGCAGAGGGCGCTGCGCTCCTGGGGCAGAAGTGCCCTCAGAAACGACGGGATCCAGGGGGCAGGGGGCCAGGGGCCTGAGTTCCCGATAAAGGCCTCTCTCCCATCATCTCCCTCTTTCTATTTCTTCCTTTCCTTTTCCCTGGTGTTTCTCTTTCTCTCCTTTCCTCAAATACCCCTCCTCCAGATAGATTGTTTTCCTTGTAATAGTCATTATTGAAGATAGGAGCATCTTTAAAAGTTAATTTTTTTTCACTGATTTATTCAACCATCGCATTATTTTTAAAAGCAAACATGTTGTGTTTTTCTCTCCAAAACAACAACAGAAACCTTAAACTACACGATTATGTTGCTTTTCCTCTGCATGGAGCTCTCGATTGTTTTCTTCCTTTTGCATAGTGGCATGTGATCTTATGAAATATTCCCCACTGGGGCTGAGTGGTCATTAATAGCTTTCATAAAACTGCATTTCTCCCCCTTTTCACACCTCTAAATCTGCTGGGGCAAACAGATGATCCAAACACAGTGTATTCTGTACCTAAAGTTTTGGGTGACTCTCTCTGGATGTGGCATCTGGGGTGCATGAAGGAGTCTGGGGAGTTGGCAGGGGGGTCTGAAGGTCGGGGGGCACTGGCGTAGGGTGTGCTGTCCATGCCACAAATGCCTGTCGGCCAGATGGTGGGCCCGTCCGCCCAGGGGGCCTGTGACTGAGGGACAAGTAAACCAGGAGGTCATCTCCTGACCCACCCCGGGGGCCTTGGCTGCAGCCAGCCCCTGGGGGGCAAAAGACCAGAGACAATGAGAGCACCCCCTTCCCAGGAATCCTCCTCCCAAGGAAAGGCACCTGCCCTGCCCAGTCCTGAGTCCCTTCCAGCCGGGCTCCCCTTCTCCCAGGGGTTCCTGGCTAAGTTAGCAAACGGAAGGGACTTCTCTCCTTCCCCTTGACTTGAAATATCTGAGTCAAAATAAATCATATACTCTCTTTCTCTCTCTCTCTCTCTCTCTCTTTTTTTTTTTTTCTTTTTTTTTTATTACATTTACAGAGCTCAGCAATCAGCCCCACTCCGGATATTTCTTCAGAGCCTCCTGGATAGTAAGTTGCCACTTTGTTTACACAACTTAATGTATGAAATGTCAAAAATGGGAAGAAGCTTGTGTTTTATACCCAAGTGTGTTTTATTTGGAGCCTAGTGGCTTTGAATGACGTATGGTTTGGTGATAGGTAACGATTCTAGTCTTCAACTTTTTTTCTTCTGTTTTTCTCCTTCTCTTCCAAATTAATTTTGTGATGATTCATGTTAATTTTCATAAGCTTTTCCTATGTTGTCATCTTTACCCTTAGAATGTGATTCACGTTTACCTCACTTGCTGATTCCTGTGGGAAGGGGGTGTGTGAATGTGTAAGTGGGGTTCAGGTCCTTGGGCAGGACCTATCTCAGGGAAGGAAGGGACCGAGAGGAAGGATGGGGCCGAGATTCTCAGAGACGGGGCTTTATTCCCCCGTACCGATTCTTAGGGTTCTCCCTGGATGATGTGTGCACACCTCACTCACTTGGGGCAACCTTCCCCATACCAACCTGCATCTTCTCCTCCAAATCATCCCCCAAACTACCCCCCAAACCCTCCTGCATTCTCTGCCAGATTCTCTGTCTCAGAACTTGGCCATGTAGCTGTTATCTCCGCTGAAAATGGTTCAGTGCTGCTTGCCCCAATCTACACACAGGGTAAATAACAGGCATTTAAGCTTGTCTGCGAACACTCTAACTGAGCCTATCTGTGTCCATTCCCATGTTAGTACCTCTTGGACACTGACTTTTGTTGGATACCTGAATTATGTTATTGCATTTTTATAACGGCTAATAAATTATACACTCCTTGGGAGCAAGGACTGCCTCTCCGTCACACCTGGTGCACCCCGCGGATCTGGGAGCTTGTTTTGGTCGGAGCAGCTCCTCATCTTACCACCATCGGATCTCTAGCTTATTCTTCCAAGTATGACAAGAAGGGAGGCACAACTATCACCTGTCCCATTTGGGTTGGGCAGATCCACAGTGAGCCAAAATCAACTGCTCAGATAGAAGCCTGACTTACTCCGATGCGGAGTTGATGGATATTTGTGGCAAACATTACAGTCACTTGGGCATTTTGCAAAAGTAGTTTCATTGGCCAGTCAATTATCTGGGATTAGAGGAGTTCACTGGAAAATTGGGGGGGAAGGCTTAATCCTTTTAAGGTAGTGACAAAATCTCTAACCAGATCTATTCTGTGAGTATTTCTTCTATAAATATTTGAGTGACTGAAAAAAGGCAACCTAAGCAACTAAATTAAAATCATTAATTAATATATTAATGATTTTAATTAAAATACCCCAGACTCTCAGGTGAAATTGAGATGATGTATTAGGACATCAGCGAGGGGGAAGTTTCCTGTCTTTAGTTTCATCTCCGCGAAGGTCAGACATAAAGTCTCCGCGCTCACTGTGAGGGTGGTGATCAGGCCACCGATAGGACAGAGAGGAGTCAAAGCTCAGCCTTATCATCGGGACTGCTCACCTGCTCCCTCCACTTTGGGCTCTGAGGTTAAGGAGCTAGAACTGTGCCCTCAGCTCCAAGGATGAGAGGTCACAGGACCTCTAAGGTCCCAGAGACATGCTGTCAGAGGCAAAGCCCACCAGATGACCTTAGACTGTCTGTAGATAAAGGGTTTCTTCAAGACCACAGGTCCCTGATCCCTGAGGTCACCTGTTTGTCAGGGGAAAAGCTTGCCACTTTTTCAGGCCTGACTGCCGAGTGCCTGATTGGACCAGATCCCTCTCCGCCCCTGCTGTTTCCAGGATTGCATCAGGTCAGCCCTGCTGCCTGGTCTCCCCCCTCTACCTCCTCACCCTCATCTCCCTGAAATGCACAAGATAAAAAATGCGCCTGTTCCAGGTGGCCAGGTGGGCGAATTCCTCAGCTCTGCTGGATCTGAGGCACTGTGCTCGATATCATAATAAGAACATAAGAAATAGACCTTTAATAGTTTGGAGGGGTTACACACACACACACACACACACACACACACACACACACACAATGAATGCTAGTGAATAAGAAGGCAAAGTAGCAAGTGATTGGAGGAGACTATAAGGATTAAAAGTATACAGAAAAGAAAGCAGCGCCCACAGACTCTCAGAGTTAGGCACCTAGTTCTGGAATGAAATGGTGACTTTAACGATTTATTCAGCATTTACTGTGTACCAGGCCCTATGCTAGCATCTTATGTGATTTACCTCATTTAATCCTCTCAATATTCCAGGATCAGGCGTTATTTTTAATCCTCATTTGATAGGTGAGGAAACAGGCAGTGTAATGTCCCAGGCGCCACAGCTGGTGTGTGGCAGAGCCATTCCTACTGCTATCAGACTAGCAGCGGTGAGCGTCTAGGCCAGGGGCTGGTGCTGGCAGTAAACTCACCTGTGCCATACTGATTCAAAACTGAGGAACAAGTTAATGGAGAGCATGCTGCAATTTACTGTCTTTTGAGTGACTGAAAAAAGGCAACCTAAGCAACTATTTATAATATCATGTTAGCAGGATTGAAGGGGACTAATGCAAACTGCTTAAAAGAGCAAATTGCTGTCAGACTCTTGAGTATTTGTGTACATAAAGATATGTGATGTTTTAATTTACCAAGCTCTCTTGTTTATACCATTGAAATAGGTCTCCAAAGACCTTTGTTTTTTTCAGCCTTAGCCTAGCTCATGTGAAATACTTGGCAGGAATAGAGGAGATATTTTTTCCTCCTGCTATTCTACCATTTGGGGATTTATCAGTAATTCGAGCTTGGTTTTCTCCCAGTTTGTTCAAATGAGTAAAGTTTTTCTGTATTTGGAACTGGTGAGGAGCCAGCTTAAGTGCAGTGCCTGACACATAGGAAAGTGCACTGTAAACATTTGCTGAATAAATGAAGGCACCTATAAGGCTTCATTAACTAGAATCTGACTTGCTCAGCACCAAGGCAGGCAACTTGTGGACTGAGACTGGCCCCTTTCACTCAATGGACAGGAACGATCTGTTGAAAGAAACATTGGCAAGACCTAACTTAACTCAAGGGCCGAAGAAAGGGGGGTCATAAATGGTTATTAAAAGGACCTGGGAACAGCGAGGAAGAAATTCACCTTTTGTCCTAAAATCCTAATACACTTACCAGCCCTTCATCTCAAAAAATACATTTTTATAGTTGCAATCACAGCGTATGTCCAATTTTATATTTTATTTCTGTAGAGTTAATTAGATCTATAAATCAGCAGTGCAGCCTCCTCATTTTCATCATTGCTTAGCATTCAGCGTTAAGTAGCACTAACCCCTTCTTTGCCTAACCCAAAGCACTTTACTCTGTGTGGCCAGCAGGTGGCACTCAAGAAGCTGGTGTTCTCCTAAGTGGTAATGAATGGTGCACTAGAAAACACATTTTCCCCCATAATCAAAGTGAAGATCAAAACACAAATCATTACTTGAAGAACTTGATGAAACATTAGAAACTTCCCAGGGCTTAAAAATATGTCATAAATCTATACGCAGGTAGGCATTTAATTTTATGGAATCATTTATTCTACTAATATTTACTGAACAACAGTGCTAGGCACCAGTCATGCAAAGATTAATCAGATAAACTGCCTGCCCTCAAGGGAAAATTTTGAACATAATAGGGAGACAGACTTGTAATTAACGATCAGAATCCAGCGCAATTCACGCAATGATGGGACCCCAGAGGGAGCGAGTGCCTCTGATTTGTGGAGGAGGAAAGGTGGGCTTGTTAGAGGAGCAGCAACTAAAAAAAGTGAATAATGACAACATTATATGATAAATAGAAAAAGTAAACTTTTTTCATGCAGTTCAAAAGGCTGGACGTCACAGCTGCCCTCTCCAGGTTGCCTAGGGCCACCCACGCCCCACAGCCTCAGTTACTTTTTGGTTTCTTCCCGAAAACACCAAGTGGTTTTGAACAGTGAATTCCATGAAGGTGGAATTCTTTTGTCTGGTTTCTTCCTTGTTGATTCTCTGCCTAAGAGAGTGACATGTAGTAGGTGCTCGATAAATACTTGTTGAATGAATAAAATGAGTAATGGAGTGAGGTGGTAAGATCTTTTCTAGAAATACCGCTGGCAGTGGTTTGGGTCAGAGGGAAACAGGGCTGGAGACTTGGGGTGGGGGGTGATGGTGTGCTTACTGCAGAGGTGTGGGTGAGCCGCTGAGGGTAGTGACCAGGAGGTAGAGGAGAAAGGGATTAAGGTGAGCTGTGTCAAGGACAGGGAGTAAGTGGGACTTGGTGACTGACTAGGTTTGGGCAGCAAGAAGAGGGAGAAGGGGGTGGATTTTCTGGGCTTTCTGGCTTGGGCTGCGGAGGTGGAGGAACAGAGCTGGGTGTGGTTTGGGATGTGTCGGGTTTAAGACGCCTGAGGAACGTCTTAAGTGGAGCTGCCTAGAAGGCAGTTGAATGTCTGTGTCTGGAGCTCAACAGAAAGCTCTGCACAGATAACAGAATGGAAGGTGGACTTTTAGGACAGCCTCACCACACCGAGTGGTTTTGCAGATGAAGAAGGCCAGGCTGAGAGAAACCAATTATTTCCCAGTCTTTAAAATGAGTGGCTTTGCCTCGGCTGACCCACATTCCTTGTTGGAGTCTGGCTGGGATCACAGCTGCCAGAACCCTGCCCGCCTCTTCCAGAGCCGCCAGTCAGCACAACTAGAAACATTTGGCCCTAAAATGATTGCTCTGTTCTCTCACTTTATTCTTCGAATGAGTGTGTTTTTGTTGAATCCTCTTGAAACTCGCAGCCAGCGCTGCATCTTAGCCAGAGAGTAAGTTCTCTTCCCTGTCCCTAGCTCTTCCTCAGCCCAGGCTGCCGAGAGCTGAGCTTTTGAACCTGACTTGTTTTGTCAAGTAATCAGTGTCTTTCTCAATCAGCCTGAGGCCACTTTTCTCATCTTCTCTGATCTATTTGAACACAGCAAAGACCCAACAACCTTGTGACTAACAGCGAATGCCTTCTCCACTCTGGTTCTGTTTCCCCTCTGGTGCAATGGACAAATGATATCTGCCTCTCCAATTAGGAGATCCGATGAAAAGCATACATTAATTGTAAAAACATTGTACCACAGCTTTTAGATTTTTAGATATTGTTTTGAAACAAGTTGCAAATTGTCCCACATCTGGAAAAAGCATGTTGGCTTTGGTATCAGAAAGAAAACAATTGGCCATAGCAAATCCAATTGAAAGGTTTCCTGAGGGCTAGTTTGTTGTTCTGGTAGGAAAGCAGGGAAAAAAAATGGTGATAATGGGTGGAATAAAGCCAGTAAGTGGGGTGGCCGGTGGGGTGGGTGGGAGAGTTCTGACAGCTGCAGAGGTAGAGGACGTGAGGTCAGCAGCCGGCATCATGACCGAGAAGCCAGGAGGAACCCAGGCAGGCTGGGCTGGGTGTTCTGCCCAAGGGGGAGGCAGTTGAAAGGACAGCAGGATAGAAGCCACCGTCAGTGTCACTCTGATGCTGAGGGAGGTCCGGTCGCCCCAAACCAGGGCTTTAGAGCCTCCTCCCTCACAAAAGCGACCCAGTCACCACAACTGTTGGTTGGAAGACTAAAAGACATCTGTACATGGATTTTTTTTTTTTTTTTTTTTTTTTTGCGGTTGGGATGTACAAAAAGGAGAAACATGGGGTTAAGCTGAAGGACAAAGTCAGAAAATGCAACCAAAGAGAAGATGGCGGACTGTGAAAGAGAGGTTTAGGAAAGAGACAGATTTCTTTTTAATTAGGAAATTCTAAGTGAAAGCCAGTTTAGATGAGCTTACATGTATTTAAATTGGCGTACAGTGCCACAACATTGTGAGTCACCTTTAGGGGTCCTCCAGCCCTTTCACTAGAGTTGATGGCTTTTGTCAATCAGCACCAGGGACATTTGCGAATGCCCCTGCAGCAGAAGGAGGAGAGCCCAAAGCTTCATGGTAGCAGCCCTTGTCCCCAGGCCTGGCCCCCAAGCCTGAGAGAGACAAGCCTTTTTATCTCTAAGGGTGGGAGTGGGCCCCCCAGGCAGGGGCCCGGACACCAGGAAGGATGGCCGGCCTGGGTCTGAGCCACCTCGATTCCCTGCAGTCCTCTCCCCGCTGCTCTGATGACTCCATGGTCACTGACGTCAGGAGCTCGGAGCCCTCGATAAACGTGATACAGTTGTTGTTATACGTGTGGAAGAATTTCTAAATACATAATTCCACAAATCAAAACAGATCCTTAATCAGATCACGTGTGCCAGTTTGGCTTTCAGAAAATGCAAACTTTTATTCATTCAACAAATACTTACTAAGTGTCTTTGTAGACTCTATCGTCAAGTGGGCTCTTAAAAAGTAGGCACAGCCTGGGGAGGGAGAGGCCCCCATCCTAGCCCTCCTGGCGGTTTCTCCTCTCTGAGACCACCCTGGGAGGCTGCTCTGTAGGCTCACTTCGTCCGCATGCTTTTATGTTCTCATCTTTGGGGATTAATTTTCTTCTCCCTTAGATTTCCCAGTAATGATCTTCTGTCTTGCCTGAGGAAAGGGGGAAAGCATTGGATCCCCTGACCTAAGCCTGAGAGAATGAGTAAGGGTCAGGGAACCCTGACCACCTGGGTAGTCCCCTGACGTAGAGCAGGTAAAGCCCTTAAAACCAGCGGTGGCTACAGGGTAAGGGGGCCCATGGGAGGCGTGGGAGGTATAGAGGCAGCCGTGTGGCTCAGGCGAACTTCGCTTCCCTGAGTTGGAGACAGTGTCTGTTTTACCAGAGTCTCCACCTCTTTTCTGTTTCCAACGCCTGGGTCCTGCAGCTACTTGTCCCAGGCGTCCATTGTTGACAGGCGGCACTCCACGGTCCTGACGCACACAGAGCTTGAGAATCCTCAGGTCCCGTGTGCTGTGGTGTGCGAGCCTCCATGGTGCTCAGGAAACACTCTGTGAAACAGCGGCTGAGAATCCGGCTGAGAATCCGCTCTGTGCGGCTCAGGTCCCAGCCCTGTCGATCCGCGGAGCCGGGCCTGCTTGAAGCAGGGCCCCGCCTCTCAGAGGGGCTCCTGTGAAAATGGAGAAAGTAGGGTCGTGTGTGAGGATTAGGGAGAGAATGACTGTCGGACACTTAGCACACCGCGCCCCACACAGGACATCTCACTGAGCGGTCTGGCGGTTGCTGTTGCCATCAGTGACTGTGGGGCCCTGAGGCCGCATAAACTGTAAAAACAATTCCATTGTGATTAATGGCTAAAGGGAAGGAGATGTGTGATAAAGCAAGTGCAGCCCCGTGCACCTTGTCGGATGGGGTGGGGAAACATGTGGGTGTTCACTGTTACAATTCCTTAAGCATTTCTCTACACTCAATAATCTTCATAATAAAATATGGGGATGGGGAAATTGAACCAAGCTGTTCGCATCTTTAGAGCTAAGAAATCTAGGCTGATACCAGCAAACTGAATTCAGTGGCATTGAGAAGCAGCCTCGCAGAAGCCCAAGTACTTCTGTGGGGGAGGAGCCTTCCCCTGTCTGAGCGAGTGTGTGTCCGTGCGTCGGGGTGGCAGTGCACGAGGGCATGGAAAACTGGGGGTCGGGGAAGGGACGGGTTCTGTGAATACGTGCTCTTAATTTTTTTCTGTGCTCCACCTCATTCCAAAAAGGATTTGTGGTAACTTGCAAAAATACCTAGAATTTCAACAAGATAAATATAAATGAAGGAGATATATCAGCGAAAGAAGGATAGATCAACAGTAGAGACTCCATACATGTCATCATGTTCTGAATATAAAGTTTGAAAGAAGTGGGTGCAAAATGTGGCTGGCAAAATAAAAGCACACAATCCCAGGTTCCATTTTCACTCGGTGGCTGATTTTCCTGGAGACCCAGGACAGCTGGGTTTCCTTCTTTTATCATTGACTTTAATGCTCCATCAGCCAAAGAAAAGTAGCCCCAAAACATAACCTAAGTAGTAGATTTGAAGACGCCAACACTGGCCAGTGACATGTCAGAGGTTCCACTTATGTTCTTGACTACCCCAACCTGTGTGCGGCCCCGGGCACCCTCACACCCCGCCGCCCCCCGCCTCCTAGTCTCCTCTCCTGCCCTCCCTCCCCTAGCAGCGTCTCTCAGTTATTCTCTGAAAGCAAGAAGGCATCCATCATCTCAGTCAGGGCAGAGCTGCTGCTTGGACATGATTCCTGAGCCTCTGAGGGCACTCCTGGGCCTGCCGTGTCTGTTGAACTCTACGTCTAAGTAAGAATGTTCTTTAGAAAGGACAGGGCTTGATTAGCCAGAAAGTATTTCTTATCCTCAGCTGGAAATGTCCTTTTTAGGAAAATGTCAAAAATACTAACACCTATTCTTTTTTTTTTTCCTCTTTCCTCTTTCCTTTTTAAATCACATTGTTCGTAGTATATATTCTTCCAACTTCCATGCAGTGAAGAGGGAGTCAGATGGGGCTCCCGGGGATCTCGGAAGCTTGGAGAACGAGAGACAGATTTATAAAAGCGTCTTGGAAGGTGGAGACATCCCGCTCCAGGGCCTCAGTGGGCTCAAGCGACCCTCCAGCTCGGCCTCCACTAAAGGTAACTGAGTGAAGCCTGCAGTCCTCTCGCCTGTCTACCATCATCGGGGTGTCTCCCAGCCACACTGGTAGCGGGGTGTTGGCAGTGGGTGAACCTCCAGCTACTGGGATAACCTTTGCCTTGTTCAGGTCCACTTCCAGGCCTTTGAGTCCTCTTATGTCCCCTCCCCTAGTTTCTCACCGGCCATTTTTCTTTCTGGTGTTAATAGTTTTCCTTCCAGTAAACCCCAACCTTTCTCTCCCTGAAGCATCTCTCCTTCTCTCTCTTATATTTTTTGTTCTGATTCCCTTTTCTTAGAAATTAGCTGAGCTTTAGCCCTTCCTGACTCTAGCAAGGTGGCCATTTTTTCGTTGCATCTTTGCACCTGCTTTGCAGCATAGATTATTTTGCTTCTGGACATCAACTGGAAATTTTTTTAAAAAAAGAGTCCTATTACAAATGAGCATGTTACCTCTCCTCTTTTGTTTTTTAGCAGCTTTCAGCTTTAACCTAATGGGTCTGTTTATTTTATTCTGCATGCTTTCCAGTGGATCGTAAAGGTGGGAATGCTCACATGATTTCTTCATCTTCAGTTCATAGCCGAACGGTTAACACTAGCAATGCATTAGGCCCTATGTGTAAGCACAAGAAACCCCTGTCCGCTGCAAAAGCCTGCATTTCGGAAATCCTCCCCTCCAAGTTCAAACCCAGGCTCTCTGCTCCCAGCGCTCTTTTGCAGGAACAGAAGAGTGTCCTGTTGCCATCAGAAAAGGCTCAGAGCTGTGAGAACCTTTGCGTTTCGGTTTCTTTGAATGATTCCAAGAGAGGGCTCCCACTCCAAGTCGGGGGGAGCATCGAGAACCTGCTCATGCGCTCCCGGCGGGATTACGACAGCAAGTCCAGCAGCACCATGAGCCTGCAGGAGTACGGCACCAGCGCCAGGAGGCCCTGCCCTCTCTCAAGGAAGGCTGGGATGCAGTTCTCCATGCTTTACCGGGACATGCACCAGATCAACCGAGCTGGCCTCTTCCTGGGATCTGCCTCTTCCTCCAGCGTGCGCGACCTTGCCTCCCACTTTGAAAGGAGCAGCCTGGCCTTGGCCAGGGGGGAGCTGGGCCCCAGCCAGGAGGGCTCTGAGCACATCCCCAAACACACTGTCTCCTCCCGCATCACGGCTTTTGAGCAGTTGATTCAGAGGTCGCGGTCCATGCCATCCCTGGACCTGTCCGGCAGGCTGAGCAAGTCCCCCACGCCTGTGCTGTCCCGGAGCGGCCTGACCTCAGCCCGCTCCGCCGAGTCCCTCCTGGAGTCAACTAAGCTCCGGCCCAGGGAGATGGACGGAATGAACCCCAGTGGGGTCTATGCCTCCCCGACATGCAGTAATATGGGGGACCCCACCTTGGGCTTCAGGGGCCTGGCACCTTCAGAGCCCCTCTCCACCTGCTCGGACGAGCTCGACCACTGCTCGAACATCTCCAGTGACAGCAGGGAGGGCAGCGGCGGCAGCGTCCATGGAGACTTCCCCAAACACCACCTCAACAAGTGCAAGGGCACCTGCCCGGCCTCCTACACCCGCTTCACCACCATCCGGAAGCATGAGCAGCAGCAGACATCCAGACTGCCTGACTGGCGCCCAGATTCCAGAGGGGACAGGAGCACGCTCCTCAGGAACATCTACCTAATGAGCCCCCTCCCCTTTCGGTTGAAAAAGCCCCTCCAGCACCACCCCAGACAACCTTCCCCAGGCGACTTCTCCGGCCCGCCGCTGGGCCGGAAGCCAGACCTCCCCAGTCAGCCCCATCAGGACGAGCCCCGCTCCAGGGGGAAGCCCTCGGTCCCCAAACGCCTGTCTTCGCGACACACCATGGCCAGGCTGAGCCGGGTCTCAGAGCCCCCTCAGGAGAGACCCACGGTCCCCGAGGACTGCCCAAGGGCCTTTAGTAATGGGAACTCTGTGCCGTACTCAGACCACGGTCTGGACAGAAACAACAACCCACAAAGTGAACTGGGACCATCCCTTGGAGGTGGCATTTTGTGTATTTGCCTGGTCTCGCCTCACCTGTCTCTCCGCCTTGCTTGCTCTGTCCCCTCCTCCCGTGTGCTCTTGGTGCTCATTTCCTGGTCCATCCTTTGTTTTCTGTTTGTTTTGCTTGGCAATTAACCATGGCTCGTAGTGGCTGCACTTCTTTAAAAACAAAGCCCCCATGTCATTTAGACTAACCACCAAACTCTGTTTCGAAAGAAAAATTGGCCGTTTAGCTCATCTGAGAAATTTGTTCATTTGAACCTTTGAACCCCTTGCAGTTTGCACCAACCCCAACCCACTCGGTGGTTTTTTGAGAGGCAGCCTCTCTTGGTGGCCCTGTGTGTGTGTGTGAGTGTACCGTGTGTCCCTGTAAGACCCTGCACGCCTCTTAGTAGGGACAGTTTTCAGAGAAGGTCCTCTCTGCTCCCCTTTTGCCTTCTAATGAGTTTTCTTTGTATTATACTAGTTTACAAGTAATTCCAAATGGGGGTGAATTTGTTTTGTTTTTTCCTTCAGAATGTGATTATTGATTGTTGGTCTCAACAGCTGTAACAACCTGGCATTTAGAGTGGATGAAAGGTGAAATCTTTTCCCAGTCTGGTTTCCCACTAAATCTTTGCCTGTTTTAATTCTACTTTGTTGTTTTGAAGATTCAGAATCACCAAGACATTTTGTCCCCGCTGACTACTTGGAATCCACAGAAGAATTCATTCGAAGACGTCATGATGATAAAGAGGTAAGCGCCATCTCTAAACTCTCCTAGCTCTTGCACAGGTGAAAATATGAAGGAAGTAAACATTCTAGATACCTCTCAGAGAGGTGACGTGGCCTAGCAACTGGAAGCAAAGATTGGCATTGTCAGAAGTGACTTTTTATGTGACCCAGGCATGTTCACTCCTTTTTTGTCCCACTCTTCCAAAAAGTGGGAATGATGTTCCCAAGGCGCCGGGTTCTAAATGCCACTTCCAGCCAGCAGTGCTGCACAGGAGGTTCAGAAAGAGGTTGCTCACCCTGGATTGCTCTTCACTCTTTCATCCCTCCCCTGACCTCTGCCTTATTATTCTCTAGGGAAATCCACCCACTTACTTCTCCCATACTGCTGACCACAAAGCACATTTCATGCTGGGAAGGATGCAGGAGGAGAAAGCAGAAACTGAAAAATAATGACCATGATACATACTATGAAACAATTTGAAGGGTGCCCCCCTAAAATGGTGGTGAATGCCCACCAAGAACTGCAGGACACAGCCCTTTCCTTGCAGCTACCAACATGTCTGTTCTGCACTGGGCTGGAAAATAATGTGTCTTCTTGGGATTTAGAAGAGGGCATTCTACATATCAGCCAAACGGGCAAAATCACAACCTTCTGTTGTGATAAAGTGTTGATGTGAGGCCTACTTTCTAGACATTGCATTTCCAGGAGAAAGGGCCCTATAGATCAAACAAGCCGCAATGCCCATATTCCTATAATGAATCCAGAGGCGGAAGAATTGCTTTGAACCTGGTGGCAGGAGGGGGAGGGTGTTCTTGTCTACACACTCTTCCTTTCCCTAGAAAGTCTGAAGCCCTCTGTTGTTCTGTTTCACTGAGTGGTTTCAGGGTTTGGGTGGGTTGTCTTTAAGGATTTAAGGTAAGGCCAACTTTGAGGAGAGCTAGATGATAACCATTAGTGCCGGATGGTGAGACAAAAGACACAGAAGGCCACGACCCTCCCCCGCCACGCATACTGCAGACACTGTTCAGTGAGACGCGTGCACGTGTCCATGGGAAGCAGAAAGAGGAAGGATTTGATGTACAGAATTGTGTATAATAACAAGGTGAAAAACTCGTGTTCGTGAGGCTACAGAACAGATTCATTCAAGTCAAGAATGTTCCCACCTGTGCAAGCCTGGACTGCTGTGGCTGAGGACAACATCCCAGCCTACTGGTGTGGACCTTAGTACCCGCCACAGAAGGCTTTGTCATAGAATTCTGCCGACCACACAGGAGGCATGTTTTACTTAGCTGGCTTAGCCATCGATCGATTAACAGGTACATTCAGAAGGGGAGTCTCTTTTTTTCCTCAGTAACACTGGCTAAAGACCCTTAAAAACTTTGTGTCTTTATCCATGGTTTTGGCTTATGTGGTTAAACTATGGGAAGGATGGATTTACTGAGATTAGATTCAAGCACTGGTTTGGAAGCTTTGCTGCATTTCCTCTCCGTTTTCACTGAGTTTATGCAACCTGGGCCAGGGCACCAGAGGCATGGTATGGCCTCGAGCATTAGTCCACTCCCACTGCTATGGAAAAAAACACACTTCCCAGCTAGTGGAGTGTCAATCCTGGCAGTTTTCTATGCATATGCTTTATTATTAACATTGACGGTAATGGCATTACAGGAAGTGATAATATGTCAGTCCTGGAAGGGGCGTTAGTGGTTATCTAGTCAGCCCCCTTGTTCCCTCCAGGACAGGACGGCAGCAGGGCAGCGGCTTGCCCAGGGCCTCACGCCACGTTAACTTATCCCAGGGGCGGAGCTGGAAACCAGGCTCTATTGTGCTCCGCAACGCACTTTCTTATGTCTTTTCTCCTGTAATCTTTACAGCAACTTACCTGAGCACTGGAAACCCTACAGCCAGTTTGATGAGTTATTACTTTATAATTTGTAGACCCTGGGAAAAAGAGGAAAATTGGGGCCCGCCGTCATTTGGGGCTGGGTGTCACTTGAGGCATTTAATTGCCTGCTGGGAAAAGACTAATGTTTTATTAAGAATGTCAGAATTATCCATTATAATTAATGCGTTTCCTACAAAAATGTTAATCCCAAGAACATATGTTTGGTATGGAATAAGAAAACACATTAAAATTCTATTCCACAGGGCCATTTAGTAGGCAATGAGGAGATACAACATTTGGAAAAATACAACATTGTTTAATTATTTTAAAAGCCCTTTAAAAATAGAAATAGATGACTATTTCCTTAATTTAGGAGAGCATATTTCTTCAAACCCCAAGTACTATATTTATTTTTAGTTTATCTTCTATATTTATATTCTGTATCATTCCCTTAAACTCAGCTTAATTTCACCTAATGAAGAACCTGTTAAGTTTAAAAGTGTAGCAGCAAAGTAACTGATGTTCTCTGTCAATCACATACCTAGCCTTGTGCTAAGGCCTCCTGAAAATTGTGCCCAGAGAAAAGCTTGGCTGGCCTAGGAGAAGGGGTGCCATGTTTTCTGAAATTGGCAGCTCCACTCTGTCGCACGTATTACAGACGAGATCGGGTGCGTTCAGCGTGGTATGGCCGTAGACTGTCACTCATGTTACAGTAACAGACACAGGAAGCACAACAATGACCCAGTTGCCCATAGACCCCACAGAATAAAAGCCCATAGCAGGTTTAATAGGCCTGATGTGGGCCCAGGAGTCAGCCAGCCCCAGTCCCACCATGGGGACACTGTGGGAACTCACCACTGCCTAGGCAAGGTAAGGACAGCACTTCCATCCTCCTGCCGCCAGCCCAGCATGCTTATGAACGCCCTGGATATCCCCCTGGGTCACCTGGCTTTTGCCGCCCGTGTGTAGGGCAGTAGGAAGCTTTGGGCTGAGCCAGGGATGCCTTGCAGACAGTGTAACTCTGTGGAATGCATCCTGCCCTGTGTCCGAGTGCTCCCCAGGTTTCTCGTGCACAGGGCTGTCTCTTCCCACGCAGAGTGGCACGGGGGGTGGTTGTAGCAGAATATTGTAGTTGTGCCCATAAAAACCCCTCCAACATTTAACCCTTAAACTTTCCTCCCTACGGACCCAGCACCTTTTCCTTAGTAGTTTTTGTTGGTAGTTTTTCAATACCCTGGACCAGATGATTCACTGCCCATTTTATGCAATTTCATGGCAGAAACTTTTAGCGGACCAGAGACGACTTAAGCGCGAGCAAGAAGAGGCCGATATTGCAGCTCGGCGCCACACGGGTGTCATTCCAACGCACCACCAGTTTATCACTAATGAGCGCTTTGGGGACCTCCTCAATATAGACGATACGGCAAAAAGGAAATCTGGGTCAGAGGTCTGTTTTGGTTACCTCGATCTGCTGCTTGACCCAAAGCCATATTTGCCTCCTCTCTGTAGGCCAAATTAGTCCTCCAAACAGCATCTGTCATCCTGGCTTCCCTTAGGCTTGCTTTGGCTCTCTGTGGCTGGTCAATGGACATGAGTCCCATCATGTCCTGTGCTCTGTATGTTGAAGCATGCCTGGCTGTGGGACCGGGTCTGCTGGCGACACCCCTATGCATGCCTAGAGCATCGGCTGCCTTCATGCGTCCAGTCCTCCACATCCTGCATTTCATCATCATACTGTGTTACCTGTGCATCTGCCTAGAATCCTTACACCTTAGTTCATGTGCATTAGTAGCTCTGGTATGGACAACGACAAGATTCTTTGAAGAGATGGTTGAGAGAAACTTACGTTACGAAAGTGAGCTAGTGATGTATGATTTGCACTGACTTTGAAGTTTAGTGACATTAATATTGAACAGTCAGAGAACAACACTGCCTCTCAATATTTTACAATGAATTAATTGACTAAAGTGTTCGGTAGTGCTGAACCCTCACTGACAAAATTTGAAACCCGAAGAGTTTTGCAGTTAGGATAAGCTATGGAGGGTGAGAGCTCTTCAAGAGACATTCCTTTGGTTCCCTTAATTTTAACATTTCTCAGCTGAGATTACAAAACTTAATATTATAAAGCAAACAAAGAAGCACAAACCTTTGAAGTGATTTTGTTCAGGCCTGGCCTCCTACGCTAAGGTCAGCATGTTGAAATCCCGGTGCTGGCCAAAGGCTGCATCTTGCATCAGAGTTTGTTTCGCCGTGTGGCCCTTCAGTGGCCCTGCTCTGAAGGTTAGCTCCTTTTAGGAACGTGTGTGTCTGGGGCTTGGGACGAATGGGAATGAGTGACACCCCAAGTGTGTGCAGTTTTATAATCTTTCAATATAATAGTAGATTAATATTCATTTTTCTATCTTTTGAGTGACAGGCAACACTGGCTAGTGGTCAAATTGCTGTCTGGGAAGAAGAAGCCAGGTTAGAATAAGGAAAGCTAGGGAAGGGAAGGAGGCTCCAAAGTGATGGAGAGAAAGAAAACATCATTGGGAAGACACAGAAGCTGGCAAGAGTGAAGCAGTTGCAAGGGAAGGACAGCCCTTGAGATCTCATTGTTCCAGCTCCTCAAAAGCAACCATTTCTGAAGGCTCCCGTGATGGTTGCTCCTCATTCCCAGGCCTGCTTGCTTGCAAGTGATGGAGAATACAGGAGCACACAAAGGCACCCTAGGCCTGTGTACTTACTCATGTAGGCAATGCATGTGAATGAAAATGAAACCGGAATAGAATAAATAACCTTGGACAGAGGCCGGCAAACTGCCTAACCCACCCCGCCTCCCATCTAGAGTAGTGATTTTTAAACTTGAGCTTATCAGAATCCCCTGGGCTTGTCAAATACAGATTGCTGGGCTCCCTCCATAAAGCTTCTCATTCGGGGTGGGGCCTGAGAATGCATTTCTAACCAGTTCCCAGGTGATGTTTGTGATACCAGTTTAGGGGCCACGCTTTGAAAATCACTGACCAAATGTTGACCAACAGCCATGAGAAAATAGACACCAACAAGTCCCAGGGGCACCAGGCTGTGTAGACATACTTCACTGAGTAGACTTGCTTTAGTGCTAGTTCTGTGCAAGACCCTGTGGGGAGGTAGAAACTAGACTCAGATTATGCCCTTGGTTAGCTGGTAATCAAATGGAAGAGACACCCTCCAAACAGTTATCTCTGTTGTAGGAACAGTCATCTCAGTTGTGGTAAGTAAGACAGTGCTGTGGGAGCCAGATGGATTCGGTCTCAGGGAGCTATAGGAAGATAAAGAGGGAGCCATGCTTTTATAAGCAATGATGACTCAGGTAATATGTCTCAAGATCAATGGAATCAGTGTTTCTCAACTTTGAGTAATGTATAGATTCCCTTTAACGAAAAAAAAAAAAATGTCACCAAGCCCCAGTATTGATCTAAACCAACTTACAAATTAAATAGTAAACTACACACCTATACAACTTTATTAATTTAGTTGATAGGGCATATCATTTTGCCTTATCTCACTTGCCAGTCCAAGTGTGAATATGGTGCTGTTTTGGTATAAATTTTTAAAGTTCACACAACTCTATAGTTGTCATGGGGTGACCTCCAATTTATTGAAATCACTATGAAGTTTCTCCTTACAGTTTTGGTCATTTGGCCTTCTCTTATGAACTTGTCGTTTATCATTAACCCCACATCCATTCTTTTATTTGTCAACAGCTGTTAAATTATGCTCTTAGTTCACAGACAGACACACGCAGGTGCTGCAGTTGTGCGGCATTGGTTATAAGGTCATTGTTCAGTTGGCCTCTAATGTGTATGTGTATAGATAGAGCATGAAAATGCAAAAATAATAAGTTCCTGTGGAGAATTCATGGCCCTTAAGAAGATCTCTACAACACCCCAGCCTGAGGAGCCTGGCCATATGGGGCATATCACTGAAGGATTAGGATCTAAAACTAAACCTAATGAAGGTTCTCAATACCATTTTCTTCTCATCTGAGTATTCAATTTTTCCCTTATACTTGGGCCATGCCCTCTACTATTGAAGAGGAAGTGTGCAATTTAATTTTCACCATATTGTTTCCCTAGACCAGAAAGTCATGGGGTCAGAATTATATTGGCAGCTGTAAACAGCTTGCTCACATGATTTCTTTACTTTTCTTTAAAAAATAAAATAAAATAAAATAAAGGTTAGTTAAAACTACTTTTAATGGTGGGAAAGAAAGATGTGCAAGTCCATATGAGGAAGTAAAGGTGAACTTTTTGCTTTTTTTTCCAGAATTGGGAGTGAAAAAATTCTAGACAGAGAAGGGGGTTTAGACAAGGTGTAGCACACAGACTTGCCTGAGGGGAAGAGGAAGAGTGTAATAAGAGATAAAGGCTGTTAGGTATGAGTGGGGAGAAACTACCAAAAGGCCTTAACCTACTTCAGGAATTGAAATTTGATCTGAGGGACAGTTGAGAGCCTCAGCCAACTTCAAAGCAAGGAAGTGATGTGATGGAAGTATTTGAGGAATGTTATTTGTGCTCCTGAGTGACAGTAGATTAACTTGGAGAGCAATGAAGTCAAAGGAAGCTTTGTGCCTGTGAACTGGAGGCCAGACCTGAGCAGGGCTGTGGAGGGATGGGGAGAGGGGCAGGCTTGGCGTGACTTAATGACAGACGTGATGAAAAAGGGGAGACTGGGACTGAGGGTGATGTCCAGGCCTGGAGTTCTGGAAGGAGATGGCCACCCAATAGGAAGGGAAGCCTTGGAGAAAGAATGAGCTCAGGGCCCACTTTATCTGGCTTTTTGGATGAGCTCACAGATCACGGGAAATGTATGGAGTTGAAGATTAATCATGGTTTCATCCACTTGCATATTGTAATTGAAGTCAGGCTGATAGAAAATGTAAGATTAGGACAGTGATAATTCTTCAACAGTAAAACCGGCTGATTCTGGTTTTGTCCTCTGTTTTGTTTTGTTTTGTTGTTTAATAGCCATGATCAGCTTTGAGAAACTATAGCACTTGAGCTTTGGGACTTTTGTAACCATCTCTTCCCGAAATCTGGCCCTCCTTAGGGAGAGTCTCATGCATGACATAGTTGACCAAACATCCACCTAGTGTTCTGCTAGGGTTATACAGTGGAATTGGCCCAAATGTCTACACAAGAATGAACTGGTTAGATCAAATTTTTCTGCTTTGCTTTCTGGAAACTTGTGAAAATGTGTCCTTTCTATTGCATGTGAATTGTGATTTCTAACTTGACATTGTTTCTTGCGTTTAGATGAGACCTGCCAGAGCCAAATTTGACTTTAAAGCTCAGACACTAAAGTAAGTGCCACCAGTCATTTATTTGTCACTTTAACTGCCTCTTTGAAACACAAAAGTTTACTTATAGAGAAGAGTTGGAGAAGTAACAAGGATAAAAACCAGTGGTTTATGGAGTTGATTATGTGCCGAGCACTGTTCAAAAGGGCTCTACTCTGTCTTACAGTGTTGCATAGTTTCCAGTGGGATCCTGTGACATGGGTACTACTATTATCCCTTTGTATAAATGGGAAACTGAGGAGCTGAAAGGTGAAGGAACTTGTCTAAGCTGATCAGTGATGGAGTCGGGATTCAAGCCCAGGCAGCCTTGTGCCAGAACCTGGGCCGTTTCCACTTTGCCATCCTGCCCCCTCCACTGTAGGGATTCAATTTGCTTGATTAAGTGGTGGCTCAATCCAACCCACACTTTCCATGAAAGGAACCAGAACCAGTTTTGCTGCAATATCCCAAGAGGTTGAATGCTTGTCGGAACCCACAGGAGACCAGGATTTCCCTAAGTATGTTTCTCAGAGTGCTAACTCTGTAAACTATTTCTCAAAGGGAGTGTTCCCTCATCCAAATGAGTCTGGGACCACTGCCCACCATATCTATACCTCCCACCCACCCTTGAAGACATACTTTGCTATTGGCATATTACTGGCTCTAGAAGTCTTTCAATGAAGAAAGAAACCCAAGTAGCTTATTTAACCCAATGTTACCTAAATTTAGATGACCAAGAAACCTTTATATTTCCCATGGAGTGGAATTTCGGGAATGCTACCAAAGACAGGGTTCCAAAAAGGAGTCCATTCACTTTATATGTAAATATGGGTTAAAATGGACCGTGAGTTTTCCTTGGCTGCAATGGCCGGCAGCCATCCCGTTGTCTCGTCTGGTGACGAGAGGGAGCGCTTCCCATCCTCCAACGCTGGGAACTGCTGTGTGGAGGCTGCTCAGCCGTGATCTCCTTCAACACAAAACCAGCCCATGGCTTCCAGAACTTGGACACAAAGCTGGCACCCTTGGGTATATTTGTAATCGCTTCAGTTCTTTAGCCCGTCAGCTAACAAGATGTGGTGGCATCATGTGCCAGAAAGAGTATGGGCTTTAGAGTCCCGACTCTGCCACTTACTGCCTCTGTGACCATGGGCAAGTGACCAGCCTTTCCCACCTCAAGTTTTCTCATCTGTAAAATGGGCATAACAGTGCCTCTTTTGCAGAGCAGCTGAGGTAATGGACCTATACAACATTTTGCACGATGTAGCAACTCAATACCCCCTTTTTTTAATCAGAGAGGATAACAAAGATTTATAGATTAATTTTTAGTTTAATTGAGTAGATACCTTCTCCCCCCCCCTTTTTTTTTAAGTGAGAAAGGTCCATATAATATTCATTGAATGATGTTGTGTTGGTAATATTGCATTTACCTAGACTTCATTTTTAAAAGCCTTGAAACAATTTTTTCTTTAGAGCAACCCTGTCAAATAGGACAGGTGAAGAAGCTGAGGGAGGCAGGACTTGTCACCACTTGGCAACATTGCCGATGCCGGAGAGAGGGCTGCCTCCTCCTGACTTAGTGCTTTCATCTGACTTTTTAAAAAGAGCAAATGACAGATCCATAGATCTAAGTCTTTTAAATATCTTCAGTCACTGGGTTCTATTTTTTTCCCCCATAGTTACTCAAAAAAGGATTCTGTGGGAACACTCAGTTAAACTGATTTCTTTCCCACAGAATTTCTCTGTGCCTCTACTCCGCTAACTTCTTACCACCAGACCTCATCATCAGTTCTTTTGGAGACCAGGATGTGGTCGACAGTGCAGGGAAGGATGGCAGCCCCAAGCACCCCATGGTGCACCTCCTTTGACCATGAATGCAAACCTCTCCCTCTCACAAGGGTTGTTCTTACCTGCCTTAAACATTAGGCGCCCACCTGCCTGCATAGCTGCAAATCACTTAGGGTAGCAGCGTTGGAGCCTGCCAACCATCAGCACGGGTGGCTATGCTGAAGGTCTTGCTCATCATCTGTCCATGGTTGAGTGTAGAGGGAGGGATGATTTCAGAACACTACCAAGGAGAGCTCTGGTAAAAATTTGGCCAAAGACATTCTTCTTTCAGAGACAAAGGCCCCCGATCCCTTCACAGGCCTCCTTAGTATTGGAAGCCTGTCTACCAATGTGAGACCCACAAAGGCCGCCTTGTTCTTTCATTCAGCACAGTGCTGACTTTGTGTAAAGTTTTCCAGATGTGGTCCCATTGTTTAGCCAGCATCTTTCACGTACCGTGGGACTTCCTGGCACACTGAAAGCAGGCACACCCCCTCCAAATTGCAGTTAGAGACCTTTCGTTCCAGACTATTGGTTTGACACAAATGGAAAAGATCTAGATTACTTTTTTTTTCTGCAAGAAAATTTCAAGTTACAATTCTTGTTCTCCTTTTAAGTTCTCATTTTGTTTGCTATCTTTTTGTCTCCTTTTCTTTTTTCCTTAAAAAAGGAGCCCTGATTAGAGGTTAACATCATCATTATTGAGGCAAACAAAGAGATGGATATGGAAACATAGGGCATGAAAAACATTTTAAAATCTACTTTTCTTTCCAAGATTCCTTTATGTTGAAAAGGAAGAGAGTTAACATTTACTGAGTGTTAACGATAAGACAAGCACCATGCTGGTGTTTTATTTGTAGTTTGTTGCTGAGTTCACCAACAACTTGGAGTTAGCTCCTATTTTAATCAAGTATCTCAGAGAGAGCAAATATTTTGCCCAAAGTTCTAGTGCTAGTGAATGGTATAACTGGCTTTTGAAACCACAGCCACGTAATTTTAGAGCCTTTCTACTGCACGATGATAAATGGTGAAACAGTGGGTGGGTGGACAGTTAAGTAGATGGAATGATGGTGAGTATTAATATATGAGAAATAATATGGTAATTCAAAGCAATGGAGGCAGTGAAAGTATCTAGAAGGAAACATTTAATCATTGAATGGACATCAGTTATGACTGTTGAACGTATTGCTGTGTGTTATATAAACATTCTGAGCATCAGACAGCATTAAAAAAAATACATGGAGAAAAAACCACAACAAACTCTAATAAGTCTTCTGAGCACTTTAAAGTGCCAGTCTGTTTGAAAGTTAACATCCATCCTACAAAAGGCTGGACAAAAGCCAGTGCGATGTAATTTCCTGCCTCATAGGGTTCTCACTTCCGAATATGGAACCCACTCTTATGTAATTTAGTCCTTTTGACCTCACTTGAGGTCTCCTTTTGCTACAAAACTATGTGCCTTAATCTTCCACATATTGGAACATCTGCTAAAACGCATGACCCTCTGTTGACAGGGAGCTTCCTCTGCAAAAGGGAGACATTGTTTACATTTATAAGCAGATTGATCAGAACTGGTACGAAGGAGAGCACCACGGCCGGGTGGGCATCTTCCCGCGCACCTACATCGAGGTACCGCAGCTCCTTCTTTTTCCGGGGAAAAGCCCAGCCGTGCCCCAGGCACCATTTATTTACCGAGAACTGTGTTTTGTTTCCTCCTTTCCTCTCATGTCTCCCCTTTCTTCTCTTTTACCTCTTTCCCGTTCCCAGCTTCTTCCTCCTGCAGAGAAGGCTCAGCCCAAAAAGTTGCCACCAGTGCAGATTTTGGAATATGGAGAGGCCATTGCTAAATTTAACTTCAATGGTGATACGCAAGTAGAAATGTCCTTCAGGAAGGTAAGCCGCCCTCTCGCCCTGTGCTTCGGGGCTCTGTTGGGTGGCACTGTCCTCATGGCAGTGCGGCACTACAGTCACGCCTTAAAGATGCCCCCAGTCAAGGGTGGCATGCAGGGCAATTGGAGAATTTTCTGAGGTGAGGTATTTTAGAAATAAACCCTAGGCTAGTGTCACAGTTTAGCTACATTGAGTTCACTGATTAAAGGCAGCATTTCTGGAATCTGAGACACCTTTTATAAACTGTATGCAGTCAGCATTTATTGAGCACCTAATGATGTGATAAGCACTGTAGAGGTGACTAGGTTTTACGCTACAGGGGTATGGCCTCGTTGAGAAAAGCAAATCTCTTGACACCAGGGGAAGTTTGAAAAACTTTGAAGCCCAAAGTCAGTTTATCAGCTGTGTGGCTTTTGGGAGTTAAGTCATTTTCCCGAGCCATCATTTCTTCATATATGAAATGAAGCTAAGTGGCTCTCATGGAGCTGTTGTAAGAGGATTAAATGAAACAACAGGTGTGAAGCCCTCAGCGTGACACGTGGCATCTAGTCAGTGCTCAGCAAACAGGAAACACCAGGGCCATTCTCACTTAGTGTCACCTCCAAGGGGCTCCGTGTGCTTATTCTGACCACCAGGAAGCTGCGCAGGGACACTGTTCCTCCCAGGAATTCACCCTCTTTGCCTGTCACGTTCTCTGGCTTGCTGCAGTTAGTGAAGTTACTAATTTTGTTGAGGATTGAGGGAAGTGAGCACATGCCTTAGATAAAGACGAGTCCCCTTATAGAAGGGACAGACACTGGAAGCAGCCCAGTTGCCCAACATCAGGAGACCAGTGATGAAGTCAGTGTGTGTGTGTGCAAGAAAATACCCGCACTGGTCCATTAAGCTGGGCAACACAGTTAAAAAGGTAGAATTATATTTCTTGATAAAGAATGAGGCTCGCTGTGTGTTGTTGAGAATAAAAAGGCAAGATAGAAAGGAAAATACAGTGCATACTCAATTTTTATAAGAAAAAAGTACGTGCAAGTCTAATTCACATGTATAGAATTCAATCTGGGAAGTACATATATCAAAACATTAATAGTAGTTGCCCGCGAGTGGTAATATTCAATGTCATGGATAATTATTACTTCTGCTTTATGTTTACTTACATTTTAATTTTTCTATAATGATACAAGAAAAATAAAGTTATAAAAAAGAAGGAAAAAAAGAGAACTCTTCCCACCAAAGCCTTTGCCTTCGAGAAATTTGCATGTCCGTCTCTTTTGCTTCAGCCAGTCAAAAACACTACATTTGCCAGCTAGCTCGGGGGAATGAATCTGACCTTCTCCTTTACTGAAATATTTAAAGACCAAGCTTGGCTTCCTAGCATCTAGGTAGCTTTCCTACTGTTAGCATCTCCATCCCAGTGATATTCATTCTTTCCAGGTCTAGCAAGGAAGGTTTTTGTGACCAAAGAATGTAATAAACAAGCAGGACAGCACAGGGCGCAGCAGGGCCTCGGGCGTGCCGAGGCATGGTGGGCCAAGCAGGGACCCGTGTCTTGCCGTGTCTTACAGGGTGAGAGGATCACGCTGCTTCGACAGGTGGATGAGAACTGGTACGAAGGGAGGATCCCAGGGACATCCCGGCAAGGCATCTTTCCCATCACCTATGTGGACGTGATCAAAAGGCCACTGGTGAAAAACCCGGTGGATTACATCGACCTGCCTTACTCCTCCCCAAGTCGTAGTACCACCGCGAGCCCACAGGTACCTAAGCTTCTCGTCACTGGTTTTCGTAGTCAGCATGACAGACGCACAATGCTCAGGGCACAGCCCCCGCAGGTGGTTCTTCAGCACTGTGATCAAGAACCATCCTCTGCCATGCAGAGTATACACACCAAGGTCTGTTTCTATGCATACAAATGCCGTTTTTCACACACTTGGTTGGAGAAATAATTACATCAGGGGAAAAGGAAGAGCATAAGGCGATTGCTCTGGGGATACGATGACTAGGGAAAGAGAAATGAGAGCCTTTGTCAGTTTGTCCAATACTCTGCACTGGGAGTACCCAGTGAAGTGGTGGTCGGGGTACCACCATTGTACCACACATACCACGGCCCAGTACGGCTCTTCTGGTCATCTTGTTGGTCAAGGCTGGTCTGCAGAATTTAAAGATCCAGAGTATTCTTTGCAAGCAGAAACCAGGTTGAAAATGTGACTTACAGCATCTCTGTCTACACTGGGCTGAAAGGAAGTACATTTATCATAAAAATGTTTGCTTCCTGAACATTAATTATGAGAAAACTTGTTTTAAACATAAGTTATTCCAAACCCACCCCTACTTTCCCAAAGCCAAGAAAAAAGATGAAGACCTTGGGCTCAGGAGAGGCCTGATGGGGAGACTTCCCATCCAAGAGCCTGACCACGCTGCCACTGGAAGCTGTAGGGAGGTTGGCCGGAGGAAGGGGGGCAGGGCCTGGGGCCCAGCATGACCGTTGGATGGCACCTCTCTTCTCTCATCCTCTAATAATTTTCTCCTCTTCTAACGTCCCACTGCTGACCCCAGGAGCCTGGGAGGTGGTTGCTGGCAGGCTTCCTGCTGAGCAAGGCCCATACTGTGTGATCTTACGGGGACAGGGTACGAGACTGGTGCAGGGTATTCTACTTTGTAATGTGGGCAACTCAACTTGATTTTTCAACCGACCATAGCCAAGTGAGACTACCAAACAAACTGACTACCCTGCCCATTCTCCTATCTGGAAGAGAGAATAAAAGCCCAAGGCCAGGCCAGGCCACCATTTTTTCCTCGTGGTTCCGGGTCAGGGCTTCGGTGGCAGAGTTGGTTGGGTGGGGCAGTGGGGAGCTTGCAGTGTGTCCCTCTGAAGTCTGGTTCTGCACACCAGGCCGGCGCCATGTGTGGCTGCCCCCTGGGGGTTCTGGACCCTTTCTCCCCTCCCACACCACTTGCTCCTTCCATCCTCTCCCACCTGCACACAGTCATGCGCACACACCCACATTCCAGTCTCTCTCCAACCTAAGCAGTTTCCTTGGGACACCAGAGTGTCCCTCCCACTCGTCTCCATTTCATCCCTCTCCGTACATCCCTTGTGATTATTCCCTTCCTTTCTTCTTTATGCTGACTCTATGCCTTCTGCTTCTTTCTTTTGTTGTCTTCTTTCTCTTTTTAAGTTTCCCAGTCACAGCAAGCTCATCATGCCAGCCCCCTCATCTCTGCCTCCCCCCCACCGAGCTCTGTCCCCTGAGATGCAAGCTGTCACCTCTGAGTGGATCTCCCTGACTGTAGGGGTCCCAGGCCGGCGTCCTCTGGCCCTGACCCCACCTCTGCCTCCTCTGCCGGAGGCATCTGTCTATCGCACTGACCACATTGCCTCGTTGGCAAGGCCCAGTCCCTCCCTGTCCTTCAGCCTCCCCTATTCGAGTTGGTCAGATCGTTCCACCCCCGGCTCGACGGTTTCCCCGCTGGCCCTCCCTGCCCCCCAAAAAGCCTACTCCGTGGCTCCCAGTGCCCAGGCCTCCCTTCATGTCAACGGAGACAGTGGTATCCACATGCCACCTTCAGGGTTCCAGCAGGACAGCTACTCCCAGCCGCTACTTGGGAGCTCAGATAGAGTCATCTCAGAGCTCAGCAACGCCTTTAGCAGCCAGGGTAAGCAGCAGCCGTGGCCAGAAGAAAGCAGACAGTATGAGAGGAAAACAGAGAGGGAGGCAGGTGAGAGGTGCCCTGGTGGACCCAAGATCTCTAAGAAGAGCTGCTTGAAACCATCAGACGTGGTCAGGTGCCTGAGCACCGAACAGAGACTCTCAGACCTCCACAGCCCAGAGGAGAGCCGGCCCGGCAAGCCCCTGGGTGGCCCTTTTCCGGGAAGGGAGGCTGAGCAGACAGAGCCGCGTAGAGGTGGCGAGCAGGCTGAGCGGAAGGCTGCTCGGACTGGTACGAGCCAGGTAGGCTGCAGCATGACGTGTGTGCCGTGGCGTCTCAGGAGGCAGGGTGGGCCAGATGTCTCACCCATGTTCCATCAGTGGAGGCCACGTGGAGGCCAGTGAGACCCACTTATCTTGGGAGCAAAAATGTCACCCAGGAGGGAACAGAGGGGAACAGTCAGAGGCTAAAGACAGTCTCCACTCTGGCCTCTTGAGGTGATTTGAAAGTTACTCCCACTTTGGGTACCTCTTGGCCTGCTGCAGAAGTCCCTGGGGAGGAAGGCCTTCCTCACGGCCCCATTCATGTTTTGGAGATCACCTCAGTTTGCTTGGACTAACACAGCTGAGAACACCAAGCTTTGGTTTGGCTCAGTGTGGTCTGATTTTGTGCGAGACACTTTGTTGCCATGGCCTGTGGCGCTCCGCCCAGCTCGGCGCCGTCAGGTCTTCGTCCTGTCTTGTGTCTGTGTGGGTGCACAGGGCCTTTGTTCACTGAGGAGCCAGTGTGCTTTTGTCCTGGGAGGAGTGTGCAGGCCCAGCCATGGGGCCCTCACAGGTATGGCGTCCTTGAGTAGAAGTGCCAGGTTTTTTGCTATGCTGTTTAATACCCCAAAAGGCAAAGACTTTGGGTAGCTTCTCCAAAGGAACGGGGTTTGAATGCCTGCTTACCTCCTAATGTCTAGGTACTTGGCAGTCACTCCTCCTTTCTGAGCCTCAGCTTCCCAGTTTGTAAAATGGACATGATAACCCCTACTTCATAGAGTGGTTGAGAGGATTCCACTGAATGATGTGTGAGAAGTGCTAAGCACAAAGGTTGGGAATGGGACGGGGCCAGCACTTTGCAAATGGAAGCTATCCATCCTGGGTGATCTAGAGCTGCTGCTAGAACTCAGATCATTCTAGAATGTCTTTTAGAACAAGATGGAATTCTTGAAGATGTCTCTCCAAATCATGCATTGTCTACTGTGTACCACAGGCTATTTTTGATCTCAGACTCACAATCCCAGTTGCCCTTTAAAGTTTCGTTTGTTCACTCAACAAATATTTATTCAAGACCTGTAGACACCAGCCTCTGGGGGGGCCACAAGGTCATTCCATCCCTGCCCTTGAGGAGCCTGAGTTCCCGTGACTGGCGAGCGCAGCAGTATCAGACTGCAGTAAGGGAGGGGTGCTTGGAGCCCACAGAGACCTGAAACACAGACGAGGCCAGACCTCCGGCTCCAGCCTAACAACTGGCAGAGGGGGATCGTTGGATGCGGGGAAGGACGGTGTGGGCCAGTGGTAACTAGTCAGGCTTAGCCTCTCGCTAGCAAGCCGCTTAACCTCCCCAGCCAGCTTTCTCCTGTGCAGAGCAGTCCCTCCCTCACAGGGTGGCTGTTAGGATTAAATGAGGAGGCGTGGTGCCTGGCACGGGGGAAGGCTCCGCAAGGGCGACTGTGGCTCCAGCTCCAAGTGGGCGGCCAAGGGAAACAGCGATGCCTGGGGAAGGCTTTGCCTGGCCGGTAGGGGCTCCTGGAATGTGTGTTCCATGAGGAAGAAAAGGGCGTGTCCAGTTAAAGAAAGAATAGTTCATTGAGGAGATGTGGTGAAGTGGCTAGTGGAAAAAAATTAAATGTCCCTGACACAGGAACAATTCTGTAAACATTCTACGTCAGTCTGGGGAGCACGGAGACCTTGTTATTGTCAGCAGTGAGTCATAACGACCTGATTCCAGGACGCGGAATGTACAGGAAGCGTGCGTGGTGCTGGAGCTCCCGCGGAGGTCAGGGGTATGCAGTTCTCGCTTCCTAAGAAGGGCAGGAGAGGAGGGGCTGGCCACGCGGAAAGCCAGGCTTGTTGAAAATGGATTTTCCTCTCTCAGTGGTCCTCCAGACCCCAAGTGTACCCCTTCCGGTCCCTTCCCTTTCTCCTGCTCTTCTAGCAGAAACCCCTTCTCCATGGGGGCGCCCAGGCCATGGGCCCAGGCCCTGCTCCCTGTTGAGAGCTAGAGGGTTGTGTCCCGCCCATGCACTTCCCTCCCAGCTCCCTTCACTTTCCCCTCCTGTGCGTGGGAACAGGAGCCGGCAACTTGGGAAACGGGTCCTTCAAAAGAAGCTTCCTGCCTCTTGAGGCCCTCTTTGGGTAACAGAGCTAAAGATGGAGAGGACTTAAGTGACCACTGTTCCTTGGTGGCCCATCAGGATGATGTGACCTCAGGCTGAGTCACTTATGGAGATAAATGCATTCCAGGCCAGTTTGTGTTATCAGGAAAACTGCTGGCCACCATTCCCCTTGCTGTGGGGAGCCGAACCAAAAGTTCACGTTTATTATAACTGTTAGGAAGCTAGGCTGAGTATCTGGCCAGAAGGAATTTTACCGGAGAGCCTTAAAATAGCAGACATTCTGAAATGTTATGATCATTTACTCTTCCATTCAAGCATCAAGGATGTTCCAGGCACTGCGTGCAGTGTGGTAAGAGGTTCAGAGTGTGAATGGTATCAGGGCTTCTTCCTGCTGCTCTCAGGAGAGTCCCCCCTTCACGGGCTCAGAGACACCCTGTGGCTGGGCTGTTCAGACAGCAAGCCAGTCAGTCTCACCTCCCAAAGCCTCCCGTGCTGTTCCCCTCGGTCATTGCCACCTGCCCTACAGTTCTCCACTCAGATGTTACTTCTTCTAGGAAGCCCTTCCAAATGACGTCCTCCTGCCCCTGCAAGGCCAGATTAAGTGTTCTGACTTTGCTTCCCCAGCCCTTTGCCCTTCACCTATGGGGACACTTGTTCAGCGCTAGGGTATTCGCCCCTTTGCTCGTCTGTGCCACAGTTAAGAGTGTTAGCACCCTAAAGTGAGAGAGCAGGATACCCGACATTTGGAAGGTGCTCAATGAATATTTGCTGAGTGAAAGAAAAGATTTAAAAAAATCACTGGCCTCAACTCAAGGAGTGTCTGCTCTCCATGAGGGAAATAACATGTTCACAAATAATTATAATGCAGACAGAGAAGGAGAGTCGCAAACAGCTCACTCTAAAAGTTCAAGATGTGGAGAAATAATAAGCAACAGGAGGAGAAAGAGGCCATCTGGAAAGACTTTGTAAGAAAAGTGTATTTGACCTTGTGTTTAAAGAATAGAGAGTTTTTCCCTGTCTGGTATGGCTCAGTGGATTGTCCTTTGGCCTGTGAACTGAAAGGTCACAGGTTCAATTCCCAGTCAGGACACATGCCTGGGTTGCAGGCCAGGTCCACAGTTGGAGTCATGCAAGAGGCAGCCAATGGACATTTCTCTCACACATCAATGTTTCTCTCCATCACTTTCTCCTCCCTTCCTCTCTCTCTAAAAAAAAAAAAAAAAAAAAAATACAATCTTTAAAAAAAAAAGGGGGGGAGTTTTATGATAGGTGAACAGCAAGAGGATGGCATTTAAGGCAAACAAATAGCCCAGCCACAGTCCAGAGGTTGGGAAGAGAAAGAGGGGCACAGGGAATGATGCGCTCCTGCTGGAGTGAGCCCTAGAGCATCTGCAGGTGGGCAGAAAGGGGTGCTGTGGAAAAGAGGCTGGAGCAGGCCCTGGAGGGGCTCACTGGTGCCTCAGTGGATATCCATCAGCACCTCCTAACAGTGCGTCTAATCAGTGTCCTCTCTGTCACGTGACCTTGTGACTTGGTTGTCAAACTTACCTTTTTGGTGCTAAGTCCCTCTTTGCTGCTTTCCTTCCCCTTAGTCACCTGTCCTGTCCTCCTTGCCATTTCTTCATGAAAGGGTTTGCATTTGTAGCCTCTCAAACTGATATCACACAGGGCCCGTCGCACATGTGTTTAGGTGTGTACACTCTGAACAGCAGGAGGGCTGAGTCAAGTGGGCGGGTGTCGAGGGGAAACCGAGGTCAGGTGGGAAGAGCTCCGTGCTGACAGGATGCCTCGTTCTACCTCCAGCTTTGCCACTGCTGTTGTGTGTCTCTGGGTGAGTCACTTCCCTTCTCTAGCAGTTTCCCACTCCGTAAACAAAGCATTCGGGCAAGAAAACTAAAGTTCTTTCTATCTTTGGTATTTTTGATTAGCTAAAAATCCTGTGTGAATTTCAGTAGAAAGGAAAAAAAAGAACAAATACCAAGTGTGGTATTTATTATAGACCTGCAGGCCTACTCAGTTGGAAAGGTAAAGTTTTTCCTTTTATTGTGTGAGGGACAGCTTAGCTAATTGGACAAAAACATACATGCAAAATGCCCAAGAGTTAAGAATCGTCAACCAAGTTCTTGGATTTGTGGTGGAAGGCATAGTTTTGGCCAAGGAAGCTTAGACCAGTCAGTTAAGAGTGTGAAGGGGAAGATCATGGTGGAAATCTTCATTGGCATCACCAAATATTTACGGAGCTCTTTCCAAGGTAGAAGCTCTGTTTGTTGACTGGCATCCAGCCTTGGGTTTTGAGTCCCTGCAATTCGTGAGAAAGCCTCACAGAATTTCCAAATTAAAAAGAGTCTTTGAAGATTATCTACTTCAGTGACTTGTACCTTCTTCTGGATCACAGAAACTTTGAGAGTTTGAGGTCACCAGGGCCTCGAGGCCGGCCTACACAATTTGCATCAAGTTTCCAGAGACTCACACTTGCGTCCACTGGAGAACTCCATGGACTACCAGGTTAAGAGCTGCCAGTCTATGCGACTTTTATGATGAGATGAGAAAGCTGAGGCCTGAAGAAAGCGAAAACACTTCTGTGTTGTCGGTTTGGTTCCTAACGGGAAGGAAGCCAGTCAAACAATAAAGTTAGAGGCCGTGAAGTTTAAAACAAAAATACTCAGGGAAGCTATGTGTCCTCAGAGCATCTGTCTGAGAAATGCAGAACAAACTACTCTACAGCCTTAGGGAAAGGACAGGAAGGAAAGCTATTCAACTGGCGACAGAAAGATGTGCTTTGGTGACTTGGAGGGAACGTCCCTTACCACATGGAATTAACCATTCCAGAAAAAGAAGAACAAAGGCATAGGCCTGCTTTGAGCATGGAAGTCATAACTGGAATGGATAACATAATATGCACCTTGCAAGAACCAAAAG